TTTTTTTTTTGCGTGACCATTTAACAAAGCGATGATTTCCGCCGCCGCTATCATCACCGGACTTGATCTACCCACTTCTGGATGAAAGCCCTCAGCCAAAGCCATTACCTTCTTGTACATTCCTGTGAAGCAAGCCGTACGTCCAGCGCCTGCACATGAGCCACTATGCCCAACATCTGCGGTTGGCATCTCTCCTCTCTTGCGTCTGCTCATGTGACTGCTGTACCTTTCAGCGAGCTCAACTTAAAATCTGGCTTTAAAAAATTAATATACGTCGCATTAGTTGCCAACAAATTTTGCAACGTGACGAAAAATAGTATGCGGTTTTAGTGCCCTTAACATGATCACGTACGATAAATCATCGTGGAAGATTGTCCGAGAGTTTAAATGTGCAGCTGAGATGACCAGCACAGGTCATCTCAGCTGCACGTTTAAACTCACACGGGTCATCTCAGCTGCACTGGGGAGACAAAGGCGGTCAGTTTAGATAACCCGTGCGGGTTATATATAGACACAAGCTAAACACACAAACATTTTTTATTCGAATCATCTTGATGAGTTATCATGCCGACCCCAAACCAGCCATTTCAAAACAGATCCTGCGTGGCAATCAAACACGTGGCCATCTGCACATCGCGGGCAGGGGATTAGCACGCACGCCGCTTTGAACCAGTCAACCAAAATTCGATTCCTGGCCTTGATCAACATCAGTCACGAGTGATATCCCGAACCAGTCCTGAGATAAAGGAGATCGGGCCTTCACCGTGCGGGCTTCAATAGGTGCTCGCTCACATCATTTGCTCCAATGGTGTATGGGGCTACAGGGCGGTTCAACGATTTTGCATTTGAACCAACTGTCTGTCAAAGCCACAGAGGGATCTTCACGTGCATGTGCACGCAGTGGGGAATGGTAGTGCAGTGACAGTACGCGGCGCAATGAACCCGGCAACCCGAGTTCGATTCCCGCTCACGGCCAGTGACGATTAGCTGAACCGGTCATGGGCCTACCCGAGGTCGAGTACTGAGTGCGGCGTGTAAACATCGCCACTGGGGGAGACAAAGGTGGTCGGGCGTGGTGCTGGCCACTCACCCCCTCGTGTGCTGTGCCGGCCTTCACAGGTGCTCGCTAAAAGCACTTGCCCCAACAGCCTGTTGAGGCTATAGGGGCGATCTGTGTCTTTTTTTGCAGGGAGAAGGATCACCGTTCACGCGTGTGCTGTTAGCGAGCGCCTATTAAAGCCGTTTGGGGTGGGGGGGAATCTGCGAGCAGCGTTTGATGTAGAATGGGCTCAGGTGGACCCAAGTGGAGCTCAACACAAACGATGGGAGGGATGTTTGTTGTCGTTGTCCTTTGCGTTAATAATTAACACCAATACACCTGGCCAACACATTTATAACGGGAGTACAAGAAAACTAAACGAGGCAATAAAAAAGGCAATTTTCTCGGTGCGCTGTTAACTGCAGGATGCCAATTCTCGTGGATTGTTGTTTTTGAGCGGATATGTTTAAATACAGGTGTAGCTTTAAGAACAGATAATGTAACTCAACGGGGTTCCTTCACCTGGCTATGATTATTAAAAAGAGAATGTTTGACCAGCTGTCACTGAACAGTAAAACTGAGCAAACTTCGTTCCGATAATCACCCAGCATGGAAAAATGACCTTTGAATTTACAAAGGCGAAACATTTTTTCAGGCTCATGTTTTGGCCAACTGGTCCCGTCTTCAGAGCTGAGAAGAGAAACGCCAGCCTCCTATATTACACGCTTTATCTAGAAGTCAATGCGACAGGAAGAGAAAAATATATACGATTCATCAAACACGTGCTGAGTGAGAGATGCTGCCACATTGATTAAGAAAGACAAGCGGGCATGGGGCGCCCTCATTCACCCTCTGAAATAACTCCCTCTTCGCCCGAGCAGCTTTAGAAACACCCGAGTCTGAAACTGAGGAATAGGGAAGAAGAATTCGACCAGCTTTGGGGCCCCCTCGTGAATGCCACTCCAGAGACCCTGAGTCGATTTGACTGAACTTGAGATGAAACTGACTTCCCCCTTTCCCCCTTCCTTCCCCGAAGAAAAGGGATCTGACGCACCTGCCACAAATCGCCACGGTCCTACACGTCCGCGTTGGCTGTCTGTCCGAGCCGCCCATCCCGCTATGCACCACTTCGCCTGTTGCGGAAGTTGTACAACGGCCGCCCCCCAACCCCCCGTGGTAGGGTAATTAAAAGTAATTTACAAATAAGTATAACCCGTAAAAACAAAGTTTTTCACTCTAAATCCTTTATATGCGTGGCGGCTAGAGTCCTCTCGTCCTCTGGCTTGAGATGGCTGCCACCTATGGGTCAGATGATTGTCTGCCAGTATTAAGCAATTGTTAATTAAATATTTAATTTGTTTTCCCTAAACAGTGTAACATTTTGGAAAAAAAAATTCACGAACATTAATTGTCTCGCACAACGAGTCTGTGTGCAAAATGTCAGCTCGATTGGATCACGGGAAGTGGGTTAAAAAACGACCGAAAGATTTGCACGGTCATAAGCAAGCAAGCAAGCGAACTTAATATAAAGGATTTAAAAAATAAGCGAGCTTGGGGACAGACGTACGCCGCTGGAAGGGATTGGTGGGTTACGACGGCGCTGCAGCGAAAGAGACGAGGCAACGCACGGTGGGGGGAGGACGTCCGCTGCATGAGACGGAGCAATGAAATCAACTCGTGTGCAGCGTGCGCCAGATAGATAGTTAGTTGCACTGCGAGGCCGTGACAAGATGTCGATGGCTTGGGGACGTACCGCATCCAGCAGCGGACAGATCACGGCGAGCTCGTCCCGTTTGCCAAAGCCCATCACGCAGGTCTCCAGTGTTGCGGTAAGATGCTGACGTAAGCCCGTTAAACAGTGGCAGCCTCACCAATGAGGCCAAAATCTGCAGCCACAGGCTGGCCCTCGAGCTAAATCCGAGGCATATTTTGGTGCTGTTTTCCATGCTTGATGCTCCTTGAAAGCCATGAAAGACACACGGGCAAGAAAGCGCTCTGTTCGATGGGTAAACACTCGTCAAATGTCACCAGCACTCCCAGATAAACTGAGTAACACTGTTGTGAGTGGAGTAGTGGCACAGCGGTTATAGCCACCGCACACTCTGAAGACACACCTCAGTTTGATTCCCAATCATGGCTAACATCGGCGTGCGAGTGATACTCTATCTGCATCGGTAGATGGATGGGCCGAGCGTTATTACGCATTTTTAAAAAAAATATATGAATTACGTGGGGCATACAAATTTGATGCAACACAACTGACGCGGGTGGTCATGTGACCCTTGGGGCTCACGAGGGCGGCGCGTTTCAGCAATTCGCACCATTAAAACCACAGTGCCCAAATTGAATCTCTCTCACCTGGGATATAAAATAAAAATTATTCTTTGAAATAATGATTCCCATTGAGGAACATTCTCGAGTTTGCAAGACCAAGTTTTTGTGCAGCTGTGGCACTTTTTTTCACGCAGTAATTCAAAGTAAAAATGTCAGGTGTCTCGTTTATGCATACACAATAAGTTGGTAGTGAAGGCCGTGCAGTATTCATGAACGTTACTCGTACTTATTCATACATCCAGGGTCGCTTTTAGCCCTTAGCCCATGAAAATAAATTTCAACTCCAATCTTGACACTATGTGGGTAAAGTGGAGTCCTCCACAGATACAGTAATGCACACATGGTTAAATGCACACATTTCAGTCACATTGTGTCAACATTGGAGGGTAAATTACTCGGGCCGGGAAGGCTTCATGCAACAATTCAATTATTCAGATAAGACTCTTTACATCCGCGATGCATGCACGACATCATGCGTGTGACAATCGATTATTTCGGGTGCATCCTAATCATGTTCACGTGAAAGCAGTGGACAGTGGCAGTTCCAAAGAGACGGCAACTAAAAACGAGACGAAACAACGCGTCGATTCCGAACGGCCACGATTGTTCGTGCAGCAGAGAGGTGATGGTCGAGAACGTGGCCAGAGGGCGGCAACCAACAGGAAGAGAACACGCGGCCTCCCCGCTCACGCGCAAGGGCGTCGCTCGCCCTCGTTGGAAGCCCTGGTCCGCGTGTGACAATTCCACATTCCTATATACTTATGGTTTGTCGACCCCCCCCCCCCCCCCCCGGCAGAATAATGTTGATTTCGCCGATGATCGTTATAACGATGATGACGACGACGATGATGATGATGCCAGTGATGTGAGCCCAAGATGCACGTGATCTACTTAAAGGAGTGACTGTGGGGGCATTGCCCGACACGTGGCGATTGTCGCCGTTAATGTAACTGTCCTGTTTATTGTTGTTATTGTTTCGCACGAGCTTGTGCTGGAGGTTTAAATAAAGCGACCTGTGTCTTGAAAAACAAAAAGAGAGCGCGCCCACGAGAGGACGAGCACGGCGGAGATGGAGCCGTGAGATCGGCTTCATGTGCACGAGCTCGACCAGGGCTCGGTAAACCCGGTGGCTCCGGAAGAGCAGGAGACTCAATTCTAGATTTGAAGTTTTCGTGACTGCAAGGATTCATACTCTTAGTTTTTTCGGTAAAGTCACGTAGGTAAAAATGAAATAAAAATTAATAAGAATTAAATATTATTCTTTTATTTTCAAATTAATAAAAATAAAATATTATTATTTTCTTTTTATTAATTTTAATTTCATTTTTTACCTACGTGTCTTTACACTCTTTGTTTTTTCGGTAAAGTCACGTAGGTGAAAATTTTAAATAGAAATAAATTAAATCACGACCTTTCAAGTGATACGGTAATTTTGCTGTGACGGTTCCACCTGAAGACGGAAGCCTGTGTTGCCTCCAAAACGTCGTGATTTAATTTATTTTTATTTTATTTTTTACCTACGTGACTTTACCGAAAAAACCAAAGAGCACGAGGCTCTTTATAGGCTGCTTCGTGACGTAACGTACACGTATGTGTTCCGAGGGCTCTTGAGATATCGAGTTTTGTACCGAATTCTAAAGACAAAAAATACCCCTTCTTGTTATGTTGGTTGCCGACCCCAACGAGCGAGACGAACCGTTGGCATCGAGAAACGGCAAGAGATGGCGACAGCTTTGGGAGCGCTGCATTCCAGCAGTGGTTAGTGACTCGTGATGAAAATGAATACTTACACGGTTGGCAATCAGGCCCTGGGTTCAGGTTTAGAAAATATTTGTTTTGAGGCGGGTGGAGGAGTAAAGAGCACCCACAACTGTGGACAAAAGGAGCCACATTTCACTCGATTTGCCAAAATGGATTACAATAAAAACACTGCAGTTCGTGAAAAGTATTTTTTTCTCTCAACCACATTTGACAACAGATATATATATAAAGTGCAAAAAAAAATGTCGCCCATTTTTCAAGCCCCTTGCCTGGACTTTATCACCACAATGGGGAGGTGATACGCCTTGGCATTATGGCGTTTGCAGCTTGCTGCGGGGTGCTTAGAGCTTGTATCCGGCAGGCAGCCCTGATTATTGTTGTGGGTGTATTAACCAACAATGGATGTTAGAGATCCCCCGATGATGTCATTAAAAAAATAGGGTCGGCCTTCGTGCCCCCCCCCCCTCTCGGGCGTCATAATCCAAGTACTGCACACACAGAGGAACATCGCTCCCACCTGAGAAACTCCCTGCAGTTTCACAGGTGATAGCTTTGGGGCTATAAGAATGGCGCAAACAGTAAAGTATTACATTATTATTCACTGTTTATAGCCGAGGTACCAAGAACAATACAGGGGTTGCCGTATCTCATAACGGGCAACTAACGAAGGAATCGGCCCAGCATTCCAGCGTAAATATACGTATGTATGTTGAACTTCTTTCGCACCGTACGTTGCCAAACCATGCGAATCGAAGGATAAAATACCCTTTCCCAGCCACAAGTTTTTTTTTATAAGTTAAGGTGTAGCTGCAAATTATTTAAGTGCTATGCTGACTGCAGGAAACTATGCAAGCGGATTTGTGGCGTCCACAAGCGAGACGTTCAGCCACGTGCCATCAAAACCCCCCACAACCCCTTTCTTGGTGGTGCAGTCTTACACCAACGATGCAGTGAGAGTCAGGGGCTTGGTCTCCATAACATAAAAAAACAAAATTATCTTTTTGTCGTTGTGCCGTACAGCTCTCCGATGCCTTTTCAGGTCTTACCGCGTGTTGCTCGTATGTACGTTGAACGTCTTTTGCACCGGACGTAGCCAACCGAGCTAAATCGTAGGTGCAAGTTGAAGTTCATGCATTAGGTATAGCCCTGTGAGCCATTCGGCTCTTGAATCGGGTACAACCGCAACAAACAAAAAACAAAATCATTAACAAGAAAACATCTTAAAGTGAATATGTGACAAAGGGGAAGGACAACAAACTAAACACAAAAAAGTAACTCTAAATAAATGAGTTTTCAATGTATATTTAAAAGTGCACAACTCCAGTGGCTTCCCGATATCGGAAGGAAGAAGCGTTCCAGACGGCCGCAGAAGCGCGTCTCAAAGAACATGATGATGCGGTGACCACCGTCTTTGTTCGATGGCCGGCCAAAAGCCGCTGCTGCGAGGATGACCGGAGCTCGCGTGATGCTTCGACAAGTTTGCTCCACGTGCCGGGAACGTCTTCAGCAAGTACTCAGAAACGATTCGGCTTTTGAAGCTCCGAGCACTTGGAGAAAAACGTTGGACATCATCCCATCCAACACGCAGTGCAACCCGAAAACGCACTTGATTAGCTGTACCGCACAACTGCGAAAAAACCTACATAGATGTATTAAAATGATTTGCTGACTGTGCGCCGCAGAAGCGTAATGATTCATCCCACGTGCCCCATCTCCCCCTAACCCCCACCCCAGCGATTCTATGAATTATAGAAATTCAGGGTCGCGATCCGATTCCACAATCAATCCTATTTTTTTTACAGTGAAAGGCAGCAGTCTAAGTGGCTGTCGACAATCATGAGAGCCAATTACGCACAGCCCGTTACAAATTGATAAACATGTTGATTCACACACACACACGTGCGCGTTACGATGCATACACCACACCTCCAATCAGCATGATTGGCTACATACGGTGCGAAAAAAGTTCAACGTACGTACACACGTACGTACATGGCGGTCTTCACACTAGATATCAGCAAATGAGATCAGTCGAATGTTAAGTTGCATGCCACACTCACCCGCGTGTTTGCGCATTCACTCAGCCAACAACACCCACCAAACTAAAAAGTGCGCGCCGCCCTCACCCTTGCATGCGCGAGTGTTGTGCTTACTAATGAACCTACAATTATTATGCTTTTTTATCTTTGCAACAGCAAAAATACCTTTGTGCTTGTGCAAAAAAAAAAAAATGAAAACACAGGAATCGTTTTAATTGCATCGCGATCCTGAATTGTGGCAATTCATAAAATTGCGAGGTGGGGGAGGCGGGAAGGGGGTGAATCGTTCCAGACACTTGACACACGCACTGCATGTCCATTTGCAGGCGTGTACAGGATATGCTCGTGTGCATGCATTCCGAATATGCACACACGCGGTGACACGGACAAAATGTGCGCGCGACTTGGGGACGGGCAATCATTTCAGCAGCGGCAAGGCATTTAATTTCTCCCGACTGCAACACCTTCCGTCGAAGCGCGGTAATTCACGAGCCCGCATTTAACATTCTGGCACGGTGCGAGCGCGTGAGCTGCAAAAGAAACGCGACAGTATGTCGTACAGAGTGGCGCGTTCCTCAGCGTTCGCAGCAACATACTTGTGCATGCTGAAACTTCTTTAGAACCGTACGTAGCCAACCGTGCTGCTAATCGGTGGCGCGGGGGAAGGATAAAAAAACTAAACGCAAAACGAAAACTCAACGGCACAAAAAGTGTGAACGACACTCGCGCGCAAATTACCGTGGGAATAATGGACGAGGCACCATCAAACTCTTCCGTCGTATCTCGTTAGGTCAAGAACAAACTTGCTTGCGTGTGTCTGTGTAGAGCTGCGCTCGGAGGAAGCAACAACTACCGCTACACGAACCCACCACGCACGTTCTGCGAGCCAGAAAACGTAAGTGTGGGCTCGGAGGATGACGAGAAATCGCTCACGGGAATCGTATTCGGAATCACTCGAGGGTTCGATCATGCACAGTCTTAAGCACTTAAAATATATAATCACGTATCCGAGCGGAAATGTACGGGTGAACGCAAAGGCAGCACACTGTGTCACAACATCACGGCCAGAGCTCACACACGAGACTCCCACAACACGTGCGGTGCCAATCCAGGCACGGCAACGTCTTTTTTTAGGCTTGCGCAGAGGTACAAAGGACAGGCAATAGCACCTCTGGCCATGCTCGTATCCCAACGCATCTGAGCCGCTGACCTCCAACAAATGTGCCATGTTCCATGAGAATCTCTGCTTGGGCAAATTGAATTACTGTGCTGTGGCCTGCCTCGAAGCCGCAATAAAAACTGTGGACCGCAGCTTTGACATCGCCGCTCGGAGCGTCTTTATTAATTAACGTTTCCAGCCCCTTCTCCCACCCACTGCTGGGTGAAGGTCTCCCAGCGCCGCATCGGTCTCGGCGATTGCAAACGGCACTTCACGTTGGTCAGTGGGGTCTGGCCAAGTTAAGTCGGTGTCCAGGACCGGTTCGGATGTCGCTCGCCACTCATGTTTGCAATGGTTGGGAATCGAACTCGGATCGTCATCACTAGTGATGACTATCTGAACCGGTCCTGGGCCTCCCCTAGGTCGACTCGGCCTCAAATGAGTACCTGGTGCGATGTTTAAACATCGTCACTTGCGAGACTAAGGCGGCCGGGCGGGTTGCTGGCCACCCACACTCCCTCGTGTGCCGTGCTGGCCTTCATAGGTGCACTTGCCCCAAAGGTATGTTAAGGCTATCCAGGGGGTCTTTGTCTTGTTTGTATATTTATATTAAGTTCAACCGCTGAAATAATTCGCGTGTCGGCAGTCTAAAGATGCGTATAATTGTGGTAGCTATCAGCCATGCCAAAGCGCCACAATCCAATCAGGCGTGCTTTTGTGTGAAGAGAACACAAATATGCGAGCAATGTCATATCTTTGGCAAAGCAGCACCAAAGCCATCTGCGGTTTCACAAGTGGCCTCTCTGCCGCGGTGATTCACAATGGAGTTAAAACACAAAAAATAAACCCGAACCCAGGGACCCTTCAAGCCAATTGCAATGTGTGTTGTACGTGTCCAGGTGTGTCGAGCACTACCCTCAAGGTGCAGGGGACGCTGCCATGGCGTTCTCGCCCAGTGCGCTGGACCCGCAGTCCAGAAGTCGCCGATTCGATCTCCTTAACGCGGAAGACGAAGGGACGCTGCAAGTTTGACGAGTCCACGGGCTCAGCCTCGATCCGCACGACAATGTAAATCAACTATCAACTATTTTTATTTTGCCAGTTATGGCCCACCGAGCTATGGGGAAGGCCACAAGTTGTTAATCTAATTGTTCGGGAGGTCGCGTAGCGGAGGGCTCCAGTGTGGGTACTCCAAGAAATCTGGCCATTGTGGAAGAACAGGCCAATTTCCCCTCTCGTGGTGCTAAATTATTTTAAATTAGCACTATTAGATTTTTTTGTATATTAATTCAATTGTACGTATGCGTGACATATAATAACGATGCCCTTTTTATGTTCAAGAATGTCTCACCGGGTCCCCTCGTTTTCAGAGCAGTCCTCGTGCATTAGGATGTTCGCCAATTCCAAATTGCAGACCAGTCGACGTACAGTGCATTTGGGGGCGCTGGCAAGCGATGCAAGATGTGACGGCGCCTAAAATGGCAATCAACGCGGCATCGCACTTTGGCCGGTTGCTTCCCAAAGACGACACCAGGACACACAAACACCCTAAAAGGTCACGCCAGAAAACTCGCAAGTCAAAGAAATTTGCCAGATATCACTCGTAAGACAGGATAAGACGGGATGTCTCGATCGCACGAGAACTAGCCTGGGACTAGTCTGCTGGCCTAGTTACTGGTCCAGGAACAACCCACAAAAACGGGGGTTCCGTACACCCATTCTATAAAAGCCACATGGTAGGTTAATCCACTCCTAAAATGCTCGCCTTCCCGATACCCTCCACCTCGTGCAACGAGGCTAACAAAAAAAGCAGTGGGCAGCCAAAGCAGGAACACGCACGTTAAAATTCCTCCCGTTGGAGATGGAGCGGTGAAATCAGCTGGTGTGTGCAGGGGCTGGGTGGATTTTAGCATCGGCGAGACTGAGACTAATTTAAAACTAAGCTAAAAAAAATGTATTTTAACCAGGTAAGGTCCACTCAGCTATATCGGTTTTTTTTGGGAAATGACCTGGCCACAAGTGATAGCTCAACAAAGTGGCTTATCAAGTGGAAAAGTATAGCAGCCAAATACTCGAAACGCGCGTTTATAAATGTGGAGGGAAAAAACCGTAGGACCCAGAGAAAAATCCACTCGACCACGGGGAGAGAGAGACATGCAAACTCCAAATATACAGCAGGTGTCGGGGTCGGGATTGAACCCACGACCTCCTGCATACCAGGCAAGGGAGTTAACATCTCCCCGCTGCGTCACGATGCGAACTCGAAGCCACGACCTCAGAGAATCGGAGCCGATGGTGAGACAACGATGATGACACAAGGTCGGCTCCACCTTGCTGTGCTCCTCTATCAGCCACAGGACTCGGTGAATAATTCCTGCTCCATCCCCTTCCTCCCACGGCCAATGCCCACCCGAGCACTGCCCCCCATTAGCATTGGGCTGGAGGAAAAAAAAAAAACAAATCTTGGTTCTGATGAAGTCGGCCACAGAGCTCGGCGTGCACCACGGGTCGAGACACTCCGCCCAGGGGCTCTGGTGTAATGGGATTGTCTCGGCGGGGCCGGGTTGATGTGGGAACGCAAGGTTCTCTGGTGTGAACGGCGATGCAGTACCTGGCCAACTAAGTTCCCAATCATCATCATCATCAGCCATGATCATTCCATTTGGGGCGCCGCGGTGGCTACGAGATGTTAACTACCTCGCCTGGTATACAGGAGGTCGTGGGTTCAATCCCGACCCTGACACCTGCTGTATATTTGGAGTTTGCATGTCTCTCTCTCACTGTGGTCGTGTGGATTTTTTTCTGGCTGTCGCCTGATGAAGCTAGTTGTAATTACTGGCGAAACGTCGTACTCAGATTGTAAATGTTGTGGCTTGGCTCTTCAACACACAACCGGTGTGCTGTACTCGTGACGAATTGGCCACGTTCTGTTTACGTGACAACCCTTACTAGTTGGCTGCGTCGGGTGGTGGCGGGTTTTAACGACACATTTATATATTTATACGATCTAACCCAAAAAAACCTCTATTATGGATTATATTGGTCGTGAAAGCCGACCACGTGTTAAAGTAAACCCCTCCGACGGCATTCCCTCCTTGGGCTGCCACTCCGTTGCTCGTTCTGACAACCGGCCATCATCCCTTCGAGAAGCGTGTCCTGCTCAAGCGCCACTTACAGTCAACGGCATGCTCCCTGTCTGGGGCATGTTCTATAATCCACGTGTTCCTCCGTCTGTCTACCAGAGTAATTGTAAGGATGCATCTCTCTCTCTCTCTCTCCATGCTCCTTTGCACGTTTTTCAGCTTTTCTTACATTTTATTCATCAATGTCCATGTTTTTTTCATTAATCTGTCATCACATGTAGAACACGCCGATGATGAAAATGCATTCTTCAGACACAACCAGTGTGTTGTTTGTCATTATCATGTTCTGGTTTCTGAAAGCGCCCCAAACCATGCTCATCCACATCTTTATTTCATTATTTTGGCTGTCCTAGGATTATATATTTAATGTCCATTCAACAGACATTTCCAAATATTTGGCGAAATTGTTGTACAAGACTACACAAACATAACATGTACGCGTGAGAGACTTTGAGGGAAAAAAACCAATTGCTTCCGAACCGGCAGATATTTATTAAATGATGATATGCAGGCGTGGTGTGCTAAATTATTATGCAAAAACATATAGCACATGAATATATCAAACATTTATTTCTATCTGAATCTCCGAGCCAATCATTATCCGCGTGCCTGTATGGCTCAGTAAATTACGCACACTATTTAAACAATAATCCTTCGTGCATACCCAACATTCAGTCATGCACGTAGGCATTTCGGGAATGGGGGGGGGGGGGCAAACGGTGTTTGCAATTGATCCCATTGAACATGCGACCTTGGGAAGCCGCCATCCATTCGTTGCCCAAGTGAACCTCGTGAACAATCGCTTTGTCAACCGGTACCGTTTTAAAACGACCGTTGGCAACTGTTGCCAGTCTTGCGCCGCATGACACAAGTCAATCCCTGAAACCCACATCGGCGGGAGAGCACACCTCCCCACTTACAAGTGCCTGACAACGAGGCTCCCGGTGCGTCTCGAGTGGGACTTCCACACAATGGCGCTGTGTCTAGCCGTGGGGCTAATGTAACGTTTGAACCAGGCGTGTGAATTCCTAGCTCTTACCGCTACCGTGCGGCTTCATAGCAGGCCTCACGACCAGGTCTCCTGGGATGCGCCCCATCTCGTCAGATCTCGGAAGTTAAGAGGGGTAGGAACCTGGATAGTGCTCAGGATGGGTGGGAAGCTGTGAACAAATAGCTCGTCACAGGGTCACAGGGATGCGTGGCGACTTGGTGAGCCAGTGCAGGAATAGTCCGTTGTTCTACTGTACTTCTGTACTCCCCTCATTCACCAGCATGAAGTATGGTCAAATAACCCCCTACTACCCACAGGTGTGGGGGGGGGGGGGGAGGCCCTGATCAAGAAGTGGATTGACTCATGGGGCTGTACACAGTCTGGCCAAGTGCAAGTCAATATATGCATTCTCACATTTTCTGCGTCGATAACTCACAAGTATGCATCAGTGCACCGAGGGCTTGCCGTGATATCTTTCGATTTAAAGCTTTCGTGACTGCAGGGATTCATCTTCTTGGTTCTTTCGGTAAAGTCACGTAGAAGGGAAATAATAAAATAATAAAAATAAAACATAATAAAATAATTCTCACGACGTTTCGGCCACAACGCAAGCAGCCGTCCTCAGGTGAAGAACAGGTCTGTCGGAAAGACAGCGTCTGAATGTCTGTCTGACAGCGTCTGAATGTCTTTCCGACAGACCTGTTCTTCACCTGAGGACGGCTGCTTGCGTTGTGGCCGAAACGTCGTGAGAATTATTTTATTATGTTTTATTTTTATTATTTTATTATTTCCCTTCTACGTGACTTTACCGAAAGAACCAAGAAGGTGATATCTTTCTCTACAAAATGATACGATGATTAAGTTTCACGACACCACGACGATTGCCACGTCAGTTTCCAATTGCTCTTTAACTATGTTTTTGTGGTATTGTTTTCGTACTTTCCCGTATGTTTCCAGCGCAAAAAGAAACATTGAGTTATTTGATGTATTTAACTTGCAATTCACCCAACATAAGCCTGCCCATAGGCCTTCTCACATTTGCAACTTTGAACACCTATATAACCCTTAAAAGGCACACAACTGTCAAATACATAAGTAATTAATTGGCCTCCAAAAATTATATTGTCATATTATGGCTATGCAGTCAGTTCCTGCGGGGAAAATATTTTCTGCACGGCACTAATTTAATGGGCAACTGCTATTTAATATGACCTTAGATTAGTGTGGTATTGGGAACTTTAATTACGTTTTATTCAAAAATAAACAAGAAGCAATGATAATAGAAATAATTAGCAAAACGGTCAATGTGATTTTGCAGCTCTTATATTTGTACGGTACATTGGAGTGGTGCCACATCTCGGCAGCCCGGTGGAGTGCGTGCGCACACACACGCTCGCGAACTCCGCGGTCTGCTTGCGAGGCCACAAACGATCCTTTTGTGCTGACGAGCCTGCACGCGATTTTCTTTTCCCTTGCACACCAAACAGAAAAAAGGGGGCCGTGTGTGTAAACCTGAAGACCTCGCTGCTATGCGGAAAGGTGCAGATTCCGTCCGCAGACTCACTGCCAGGACGAACGCCGGGTGGGTGACACGCTCATCCCACGGCGGGTCAGGCGACCGCCTGGCACATCCGCCATGCGCGCTTCCACTGCCGCTCTTACGAGATGTATTGTACACAAAAAAAATGTGAAAGTAATTTACAGTCACTGTTAATCCACTGCCGGATGAAGGCCTCACCATGGGTTGATTGTGGGGTTTTTTTCCATGAAAAATTACGTAATTTGTTTTACCATAAATTATTTTTACATACTTTGCCACGCTGGTGAAGGTGGCAGGCCCAGGACTGATTCAGATATCACTCGCCACGGATGTTTAGCCCTGGCCAGGAATCGAAGTCGGTACTGTAAAAGTGGTTTATATTACATAATTCCAGTTTTTTTGGTAACCATAATGACAGTGGGCGGTTGTTTAAGACGAGCGGTGTAATGATGCATCGATACATAGATGAGGATTGATCGTTAAGCGTGTGATACATGCATTAAATGACGTGTGAAGGAAGAGATGTTTTTAGATTCCTAAATTACGTGTCATGTCCGATAAAACGTCCACCGTGGAGAAGGAGCGATGAAATCAGCTTGTGTGCAGGCGGCGGATGGATGGCTACATCGCAGTACCGCGAAAGATTGGCGACGACTATGGAGAGGCCTTCATCCATCAGCGGACTGATCATGTCCGAAGACGTACATGAATTCATTTAGGTGACCCCTCCAGCTGCCAGGTGCTGCTACAACATGAATCGAATTTGTCAACCTGAATCGCGACAAACTAACCGGCGGGGGCGTCGGTCGAAGGATAAAATAATCGTCGAAGGAACATTACAACACGTTTCTGTTGGCGTGTATATTCTTCTTTTAAAATAACTATCTTAACAACCTTTTACGTTGCACGTGTTGTATATGCACGGAAATATGGGTGGGCGTGTGACATGCCTGCTCAGTGCATGAAAGTCCTCCGACAGGAAGCATGGAGCGCTAACAGCACTTCCTATAGTGCCACTACAACAACGGACATTGCCTACTTCATAGAAAGCGCCTTCATTTTTATCAAAACAAGACCCTGGGGGCAGCACTGTACTAAGATAAATAAAGTACAGTTTTTTGTTTAAATTTACTCGATGGGTGTGGAGTTTCATTTTTCGGACGAGGATATTTTTTGTTAACTCGAATTGGAATTTTGGAGACATAAAAAAAAGGTTTAAACAGTGAAACTAAACAGACATCTGGTGTTGAAAAAATGTGTTCCAGGTACAAACAGAGCACTGTTAGGTTTTAGTTTAAATTATGAGCGCAGCCGTGCATCGAATTGTGTCAGAGTGAAACATTTTACATGTTTGTCTAGAAAACTGTGTGGCTTTAAAAAGGAAAAATATATAGCAGGTGACGTCTTGGGCAATGGCCTTTTTTCAAAGCGCATGGATTGTGCATGTGAAAACATTTTCTCAATGTGTGCAAACTATAAGCCAGTCTTTTATTTTGGTTCTCACGCTTTTCAGACTCATTTGTACATATGTGTTTACTCCGATAGCCCAAATGCGAATTCAGAACATCACTGCTTAATAATCCCAAACTTAATTTTATCATTATTTTCATCATCAGCGGCGAATGTTGTTCAATTGATCTTCTAAAGTTCCATTTGAGCTAATGAGGTGAACACGTGTGCACACACGAGGTGGCACAATTTATAAACAAAAACAAACAATACTAATAGGAGGGTAAACAAAAGACAAAAATAAGCGATGCTTGAATAGATTTTCGGGCCCCAAATTTGACAATTCATCGAGTCATCTTTACTCTGCGGTGGTGCGTAGGGGGAGGATGGCGTAGAAGGAATGCTGTAACTTCAAGAGCAGTTATTTGCAAACCAGACATTTAATCCCGACACCAGCTCTCATCCCTTGCAGTCATGTCACCAATGTCTACCAAGCAATAGATGTGTCACATGATTTGTACACGAGTGAGACAGGCCGACATATATAGACGCACCTGAAGTATAAGAGCCCACATGGTCTGGGGGTGTGGGAAGTTCTCATCTGAAGTCAGAAATGTTAGAAAAAAACTGAGAAACCTGATAATATACTGCACTCTGAAATATAAATTACCGGAATGGTTTAATACTTAATAGGACTTAGACTTGGTATCTTGGCATAGCCATCTTACCGTTTCTCATTATTTATCCACGGAAGAAACCAGAGTTTGGGAGTTGCACAGGTGTACCCACCCTGATAAAATGTCACGTATAGGAAACGTACTGAGCGGCAATAAATCATTAAAATGGCTTTACATGGCACTTCTAACAGCGATGAATAACACAAACACGCATGACGTTCACAATATAATTATTCGGTAATATATACGCTGACCTTGCATTATTATTATAATTATTAATCTCGGTTGCCCAGTAGAGCCTGCCTGAGTATTGTGACTCATTTTTAGGAGGGTCCTGCTAAGGTTTTGCAGTCGGGGTCAATAATTGCCACGTATAATGGCAATTGAGTAATTTGCGGCTCATTGTTCAAATTTGAACCACGGCGCCAGGCATCACAGTGGACCGCCCTTTGCAAACAACGTTATGGGATCTTGATCGTCTACGATGAAGCGTGTATAGTTTTGTTTTTACGGTTAATGCACCTGCATGGATAATCAGGGGGCGGTCTGTGGATTCGAACTGCTAACGTTAGGGCCACGTCACCGCCCATGTTGTCAATAGTTCAAGCTTCATTGGCATGAGGCCAGCCCAATTAATTTCACGCCAACATCCCTCCCACCAAAGAAACAATGGCCATGGCATTATCTGAGAAAGCTGGGGGACAAAATCACTTGCTATTAAAAAAGTGCCTTCTGGATTTGACCCTTTGCTACGCACAAATATGCTGACTCTCTAATTAATGAAACCTTATCAAACCGGCGACAGAACTTTGAAAAATACATTGGAACATATTTGGGATTCTGTGAGGTGCAGATAAGACGAAATTTTAAATAAAACCATTAAATAGTGGCACGCCTATCATAGGCGAGTTGACAGTAATTTCAGACACGTGGATTTTTAGTCACTCGGGGAATTGGAGTTTGAAAATGCAAGAGTACTTCACAAATAGTTGCCCAGCTCAAGTTAAGGCTCTCCAACCAATATACGATTAAAGATAATGAGAGTATATGCCCCAGAACAAGCTGAAAAGATGTAAAAAAAACCTCTAATTCGTCGATAACATTGTGGCCTTAAAAGAAAAAGTAGATTAATCGGTGACGTTTCGGGAGATGGCCCTAATTCAGATGGGCCATTGCCCAAATTGTCACCTGTTAAAAATATAAGACCAGTGTTATTGATTTGTTGAGTTTGCTGTCAATTGTGCTTTGTACACCACCGCAAATGCGGCATCACCAAACAATGTGTTTAATCACGAGAAGTAGAATTTGACAAAAACGTAAGAAGGCATTTTCCAACTTCTGAATGAGAGCAAAACAAACAATAGCATCATCATGGAAGACTTCAATTTAAATGTGGGGGAAAGCGATACGAGAGATGAGAGGATGATTGGTAAATTTGGCATTGGAAAGATGAACAAGAGGAGAACATCCATTACAGTTTGCAGCCAGTGGGGATATGAAAACAGCGAGCATTAGTTTAAAAAAGGAATTTTAAAAAAGGACAGAGTATCCCTCGTGGATAAATTGTAGATAAAACTGATTTCATTCTCATGCACAACCCTCAGGATGTCCGACACATCTCTTCCTCCGAAATATCAACATGGCAAGTGATAGTAGATTGGTGCGATGATCTAAGTGACACTTCAACAAGTCGGCATGGACAGGACACATCAATAGAAGAGATGATTGCCAATGAAAGAGACCGGAGATGGAAGAGCAGCCAAAAGACACTCAACCATATGTGCAAGAATGATATGGATTGTCGCTTCACGAGACCTTGAGGTTTGGAGATGGTGTGGGGAGGACTCTATCTCGTAAAAGACAAATCATTGCCGCTGTTGCTGATGATGCTGACATGTATATGGCTCAGTGGGAAGTGAAAAAGGATTCAAATAATTCGATTTTGAGTTCAAACCCCAGTCGTGGTCAACTCAGCCCCACTTTAGCTGTGGGGTCTGTAACACGAGTTTTACCTTGTGATCGCTGGTAGCTGCTGCCCTTGGACAGAATGCTCCCATCCGGAGAAATGTAGAATTTGAGTAACAACAGAAGAGCTCTACCCTGCTCTAATTTGAGTACGAACGAATTTGTGACGTTAATTATGTCGGGCATAATGGATCGTTATAGTATTGCCTTATGGAAATTTGGCTCGGAGATCCCTTTGTACAGCTAAGCAGCAGCACTTTGTACCAGTAAGCAATCAGAACGATCTTGTGACATCTGCAGCATCGTGTGATGTTACTGAATGTTCTGCATATGCAGCAATGTACTATATAAAGTCAAAATGAGTGTATATTATTAGCTTCATGCATCTATATTAAAGCTGTATGATTGATTTTCAGACATTTGTCAATCCACTGCTGGTCCAAGGCCTCTCCACTCCATGTTGGTTGGTGGGGTTGTGTGACCATATTTGCTTGCAGGTATAGTATATGTGTTCTAACACATACACTTCAATTTAAGTGTAGTGGTTGAACCATTTTTCTAATGATGTTCGAGAAGGGCAAATCAATCTGAAGTTTGGCACGATAAACTACAGTTCATGCTTACATCTGCAAATATATATGACTAACTAAATGTTTGAACTTGGGTCCCCAAAAATAATGCTGGAAGGTTTACCAGTTCACTCTGAAAATAGGATCAGCCTTAAGTTCAACATAGCATTTCAAGCCTCACACTAATCACTTACGAATACATGACGCCCGATCATCAGTAAACCAAGTAGCATAATGTCTCCTCCCACTGTGTTACAGTACTTGTACCATATATCCAGCATATTTTGAACATTAAACACGTAGCCACATAGCAACGCAGCTATCATGCACGGTGACCACCCATCATCTAAGCACAATCCAAAAGCCAGCGATGGAAAATCCACTTTAGGTTTACAGGAACCCATCTATTCAAGGGCAAACCACTGCTTACTCCCTACCCACCCACAGGTACAGCTTTACCAGTTGCTATGTTAATTTTACTTACCCTCGATGGAAGGTGTGCTATGAAGAAGGGTCATTGTCTGAAACGTTGCCGAATATATATTTTTTTTCATTTAAGCAGGCCACAGTGTCATTGATGAACACAATTAATGTTCTGTACAAATGATGACTGTGATGTGGCTCCGGATAGTATTTTGGATTGCAAGCTCGTTGATTGGGAATCAATTTCATCTAATTACTCCGTTGAATCTTGGGACTGTTATACATGTAAAAAACAACACTGCCAATGCTGTACCGTGGTGGGGCAATGCCTGAGATTGGCAACTGGTCCAGCGTGTGAGGTTGATTTTGTGGAGGCGTGAGAGCCGGAGGGAGGATGGATGGGGTTTGGAGGCGTGAGGATTTCGTGTTGGTTGGTATTAAAAGTACCGAGCGAATCGCGCCGGTGTGATGCGTGAGAATTGGTGAACTGGAATGCTGCTGCGGTCGTGAGGGCGTGGGATAACACAGACGAATGCGTGTTTTGTTTTAGAGGTTTGCACGCTACAGTTCGTGTAATGCTAACACGTGGTTGGTTACGTACGGTTCGAAATAAGTTCAACATACATACTATGCAAATAAGTGTGCGTACATACACACAGGTGTGCATGTGCAACACATTCCGTGCACTTAGGACCTGCGTTACCTATGCATCGAAACATATACCTGGACTACACACGTATGTACAACCTGCGTGTGTGTCCTTCCACACACATGCACATGTCATACCCACACATCAATAAGCTACGTCCTTTATACACGTGTTCTACCCACACACGCGTGTACATGTACAATATGTACATGTGTAGCTGCACTCCACACACAGAAATGTGTACATGGGCGACTGCACACGTCGACATTGTAGTACCCACACATCACACGTCCTTCTACACACAAGAGCCCAAACAGGCCGTCGGGGCAAACGCTGTTAGCGAGCACCTATTAAGATCGGCACGGCACACGGGTGGGTGGCCAACACCACGCCCGGCCGCCTTTGTCTCCCCAGTGGCGATGTTTACACATGTACTGTATACGGATATACTCTACACAAACAGTATACTATACACCGCACCAGGTACTCATGAGGCTGAGTCGACCTAGGGGAGGCCCAGAACCAGTTCATCGTCAACGGTGTTAGTGTCGCTACACCAGCCCTCCCCCCCCCACACACATTATTATCAACACCCCATCCCGACCCTCACCACCGCGGGGAGCTCTGCCGGGCGAGGCGCACCCTAGCCCGGCCAGGCTCGCTAGTCCCAGCCGCGAGGCCTACCTGTGTGCGGGCGGGAACCCGCGCGAGTGCCGAGGTAAGTGGCCCACACTCCCAGCGTCAGCACGGCGATTGCTGCCAACGTCTTGGCCTTTTTGCGTATCTTCTTGATAGGAAGGAAGACCATCTTCTTTACTTCTATCCGGTAAACTTAACGCACCATGTATAATCGGCGACGATAATAAATTAAGACGACGCTGTCGGTGGGTAAACGCCCCGCGTGTGTTGTGTCCTTGCGATCTTACATCGCGATTTCAGCTGCGGCTGCCTCTCAAGATAAGACGCAAACAACTTGGCATAGCTCCAACAACTACACTATTGACGGCGACGATAATAAACAAAATAAACGCTGGCTAACAAAATAAGAGATCTGATCAATCCTAACCTCCCCAAAAAAGAAGAATTTACGCTAACGTCGAATAACAAATCATCATTTTCCTACTTGCACTGCGGCCAGCCCCACACCAATGCTTTGCTATGATTGCCCGATGCCCTGGCTATTATTGCCCTTGCAGCAGTAGAAGCAGCAGCAGTAGGTCCAGCGACCGGTCAACACTGGCGGACGCCGGCAGGCAGGCGAAGCTGCTGCTGCTGCATCACCTGCTGCTTGCCAGGGCTGCCGAATGAGATCGCGGCGGCGAGGGGAGGAGGAAGGGTGAGGGAGGAGGTCCCCTTCCTCGCCTCTCTCTCTCTCAGTGTGTGTGTGTGCCCAATGGGAGGCGGGACGCGACACGCATCACAACTGTGTGAACACGTGCGTGCGCGTAAGCTGTGCGCGCACGCACGTGCGCATGAGTGTGCGCGTGAGTGTGAACACGTGCGCGCGCACGTGCGCGTGAGTAGTGAGTGTGCGCGCGCACTTGCGCGTCAGTGTGCGCGCGCGCACGTGGGGAGCGGTGGTGTGGTGGTGAGCGCTGCGTGACGATGCCAGCGGGTCGAGTTCGATTCTTGAGCACGGTCACCAGCACCGGTGACGATTATCTGAACCGGTCCTGGCCCTCCCCTAGGTCGACTCGGCCTCAAATGAGTACAGTACCTGGTTCGGTGTGTCGTAAACATCGCCACTGGGGGAGACAAAGGCGTCCGGGCGTGTTGCTAGCCACCACGCCTGTGTGCCGTTTCGGCCTTCATAGGTGCTCGCTAACAGTTTGTGTGCATTCACATTCATACACGTGCAATTTATACGAGTATACGTACGTGTACTATACATACATATACGCACACGTGCAAAAACTAAAAATCCTTATCACACACAGGCGTACTCACACACACGTTTACGCAGAGACGCGTACACACATGCAAGTACGTATGCTGTATAATAATGTATAAAGCGACCTTAAACGTTCAGGTATATATACACGCACTTTGGCATACGCGTGCACACAGGCTTTTACAGAACACACACGGCACTTGTACACTGGCTTACCCAGATGCACACACACACACACGTGAGGATTGACGGAGACCACAGATAATGTGAAATCGACAGAGGCAGAAACAACACCACCAACACGCACGCACAAACACACCCAAAGGAGTGGTGACGGAAACTGAAAGGCAGATACACAGAGATAGACTCCTGAGATATGCGGTGAGATGGACACGAAAACACACACGCACCAGGCACACACTATATAGAGATACACACCGATGCAAGACGAGAGCTCGCAGAACAAAGTTCGACAAAGAAGCAGAATTTTCATTCTGCAGTCGAACAACCATTCAGCAATGCCTGCCAGCCACCACGCCCGAGACGATAGCGCAAGTCAGAAAGAGGATGTGTGCAGTGGCAAAGTGCATTATGCACAACTACTAAAGAGATTCGCGTTTGTCAGAATGTCTATTTGTTTGATTAGTTTAAGCGGCATCATGCGCATTACGGAAGCAACATCCCTGGTGCGTCTGTGCAGCCAGTCTCTGTCTCATTATGGAAATGAATGATCATTACGGCAGGGGTGTTCTGCATGTCACCGCCATACCCAGCCTCCCACTCCAGTGTCGAGCGGATAGAACATTTCTCATCTGTCGGATCACACGCTATGTGGATTGTCACAACAGCCACGTGGCCATAATGCTTTCGTTTCCCTGTGCTCCCACCTATAAAGGCACACTTGTTAGCTAAAAACATCTTGAAGATCATATCGCAAGAACACATCACACGTATAGCCTTAGACTGTGGTGGCAAGTGCTGTTCGCGAGCACCTATGAAGGCCGGCCTGGCACACGAGGGGGTGGGTGGCCAGAACCACGCCCGGCCGCCTTTGTCTCCCGAGTGGTGATGTTTAAGCATCGTGCCAGGTACTCATGTGAGGCTGAGTCGACCTAGGGGAGGCCCAGGACCGATTCAGATTATTGTCTCACTGATGAGCGGGAATCAAACTCGGGTGGCCGGGTGCGCAGCGCGCTAATCACTGCACCACCGCTCCCCGCTCCCCCATGGACAAAGACCTCCCTGCTATAAAGCCTTAACATTTTTGGGGCAAGTTCTGTGAGAGGGGGTATTGTATCACACGAGGGGGTGAGTGGCCAGCACCACGCCCGACAAACAAAGACGGGTAGTGTTATACTACAGGTTCCTGCTCAAATAGCCGTCTACACCGTTGACGTTTTCATAACCTAGCGCGCGAGATCACAGATAACCAAATTGACAACCTACAGGTGAAAAATGCGAGTGAAAATAGAATAAATGCAAGAGCAGTCCTGGCAGAGTTTGTAGTGCCGCTCCGTGGACATGTGCGAGACGTGTGTTGGGGATTGAACACATTTGAAAAAAGGTGAACGGGTGTTGACTTTTGGATGCCATCGACTGGAGCCTCCCAGCTACAGCGGTGATCGTTGAAAGTGTAAACTCACACAACCAGGGAACATTTTTCACGGATAGTAAAGTCATTGTCGAATTGTTCTCAAATGATTAACTTGACTGGATGTGCAAACGAAACTTTCAATCAGATGTTGATTCAGTTGAACTGCCAAGGCACCGAGCACAATGGACTAATGGTGGATATCGTTTACCGATTTAAATGCCAGATTGACAGGCAAACAATTCACAATTGGACATCCAATGAATATGTGTGCTATTGAATGACATACGATATCAATTGGATATTTGAAATGTTAACAATTCGTTTTTTCTACTTATCAAATTCAGATTACGTCGCGACATTGAGATAATTTCAAGGTCTGTAAAATAATACCCAAGGCTGCAATTATATTTTTTTTATCCGAGCTCCACCTGACGAGTTGCCATTGGAGAGACAAGACTTTTCATCACGGCATATATTTCTGTATGTATTCGAAATGTCACAAGTGTACAGAGTGATTCAAACCAAAGTGTAATAAATGTTAGCAAATAACTTATCGAGATAGTAGCGTGTATGGAAAATGTTAACATGCAGGTTGCAAGGCGTATTACTCGGAGCAGGCAAAGGGGTGTCTAACCTTGCTTTATTACAAAGACTTGCTTTAAAAGTTCAACGAGCACGCATCTCCACAAGCTTAAGTCAGAATTCTAAATAATTGAATTGGCTGGTCGTATAATGGCACCTTCAATAGCTTTCTATTAAACACGCCACACTTTAAATGACCAAGGAGCACTAACGGCTGGACCGTAGAACACCGTGAAAATTCCAAGACATGTTCTCGAGGTTTAGATCGTGATCAATATTTAAACCCAGAACTATATCGACTCATTAGGCTCTTAACGAGTTGTCGGTTTTTATCGTGGAAAATGTATTTTCCTGGGGACGGCCAGCATCCACCATCACACACGAGCAGCACGCGTGCAAATCCAATGTCAAGCAACGACAGACTTCGTCTTTCGTACTGGCGAGGGAGTTGATCAGCAACATTCATGTTCCTGCAAGTTATTCTACCGTGAAAAGCACAATTCAAAATAAATAATGGAACATTTGAAGTAAATGATACAACACTAATTATGACTATTACCCTTCAAAAAAACAGTGGGGTACTGCAGAGAACGTAACAAGAGTGGCACAATAGGCTGGCGCGTGCACTGCCCATGTCATACAGTATGCTGAAATACTATACTGTTTTCTTTAACACGCAGGCATATCCAAGGCAGCGCATGTCATCATTTTCACTTACAAAAATATTGATTCTTTTTGGTGATCTCCCTCCACCCCCATCCCAATATGTGTATACAGCGATGTATAATACAGCAAGCGAACCTCATCCGGTTATTGGTTGCTCTATTTCTCCAAGGCGGCATATTATTTTACACTGGACCGGTTTCACATTGTAGAACGTACAAGTGTACAGAAACACCATCATCACAGCGATTTGCCAAGACAAATTATAATCCACATGCAACCCTTAATTGTCAGCGTTTAAGATGCAGTAGAACCCATAACCAAATCACCCAGAATTCACCCAACATCATCAGCAGGGTTGAGCCTTCAGTGCTTGGATGGGTGGCCACCACGCACAAACAAGTTGCCATGGGGCTGCGTGGTTGGCAGTACAATAAAATCTATTTCTCTGCTGTACTTGTGCTCTTACGTTTCCACTCCCTGCCTTCACCAACCCACACTGACCAGTGTGGTGCAGAGTGGTCAAATAACCCCACGACCACCCGAAAGGTGTGGGAAGGCCCTCATCCAACGGTGGATTGACACAAAGGGCTTTACATGTACCAGCCACAAGAACGAAGGCGCATTGCCCATTGGCACAGCGAGTAAAGCCTTTGTGGATGATTAATACATTTATTGTACGTACACACTAAGTGGTTGAGCACATTGTGCCAATTTAGTTTCAAAGGAGAACAGGAGCACTATGATCGTTTGGTCTTGGCCACGACAAGCAGTGGACACAGATGCGATGGCATTTGCAATGTTTAATATTTAAAGAGAAATTCAACGACGTCCCAATGATCAATACAGGGCATAAGGTAAATTCCAGCACGTGATGAATGTTTCATGACAAATATTTGCTTAACCCCTCGTTCTGAAGCGTGCTGCTTGCACCATGATCTGCAAAGAAAATACAACAGCCAAACACTTTTGCCGTCAATTGGAAAAACACAAATAGATCACCGTGAGCCATGCCATCCGCACAAGTCTTTAGTGATATAAATTTACAAACACAAATACACTCAAGTCCCAGATCAATGCGTGCGAGTGGGAATGGGTGAAAGTGCGCAGGAGTGTGGGAAGAGCCAAATGTAACACAGTCAGTGGTCATACGCTCCTTGGTACAATACCCTTCCAACTGACATCTCAGTTCATCTCCCGGCCATGCACATGAGTGGCTACTGGTAACCATACCCTGGTGTAAGGCCTCGTCCACATGTTCACTCAAGTCTAAAATGACCACCCCCGACCTGGTGTGTTGAAAATTGTGCTGAGGAAATAAAGTTCAGAGCAAGTGTTAACGCTAACAAAAAACACACACACTTGCGGTGTTGCTCGTTGCAATAGGTGCTCGCTAAAAAACGCTCGACTCGATTTGTGAGGTTAACAGGCAAACTTGTGTCCTTGCATGAATTGTCGTGTGATCGTGTGCAGCCTGAAAATTGCTTATTCAAGGAATGGGTCACTCGTGGTTTCCGGCCACTGCTCAGAGCACACAAAGTGCACATTCCGTGCAAAGCGGAGGTGGTTAAGCAAAAACCGCTTTCAAGGATCCAACATAAAATGATGACATCATGAAAAATGTCATAATTATTTACAAAATGGCTTTGATGGCGGGAGACTGGGCGGGGGGTGGGCATGAGGGATGAAGCAAAAGGCCGCTCTTTGTGCGCTTGTGAAAGCGACAATTAGGGATGATTCTCCAATGCACTTACCTTGCACCACAGCTTGCGGTAGAATGCCACGATGGCTACCAGCAAGGGTGCTCTTCTTAATGTTTGCACACAAAGTTCCACGCTATCACTCCGCTACAGCTGCCCTTGAGAAACTGTGCGGCAAACCAGGAGCTCTTTTTATGCAAATCCATCACTAAATATGCCTGGTCCTGTTCGCAGACATTTCAAGTGTACAAAACAATACTAGAAACGTGGATAAGACTGGAAATAACAAATGCAGTCACTTGCTAGCACATAAAATAAATACTCAGATCCCTAAGTGGCAACTGGTTTCCCAGCAACAATTCGTGATGTTACAAACACATGGTCAAGCAACCTGCACATCATATTTTGGAGCTCGGTTTGTTGAATTACGCGATTCGTGAGCGGTTGCTATGGTGTGCTCGTGCAATGGAGGAGACTTATTGCTCCCCACATACGGGAGGGACTTGCTGCTCCCCACGGCGTCTCTCGTGGGTTACGTTTACAGCGACATAAGACGGGCCCTGTAGCTCAACTCCTCCGATGACAACGCGCTGGCCGTCAAAGTCTGCCCGCATCGTCACATGAGGTCCATGATGATGTCATCCTCGGACATGATGCTCGTCCCTGGACCTTGCTGCATTCCCAGCTGGGACATGGGCTGCTGGGAAGGGGGCACTGGTCCTCGGGCTCCTGGGTTCATCATCATTTGACCTGCAAAACCACAAACAAAGCAAGTTCACTTTTTGCGATCTCCACTGCCGACGAGTACAACCCAGTTAAATGTAAATAAAAAAAGTAATCCTGATGTAATGCCTCTCTAATGTGTTCACATGCTGTACCACGTGATGTTCAGCATGATATCCGACATTTATACTCCACATGCTGGCAGCTTCTTCGGATATATCGGACATCATGCCGGACAACACGTGGTACAACCCAAAGACATCAGCACAACTGAAAACCTACGTAGTAATGTTATTTACATATATACACGTACAGAGAAAACTCACTGTGGCTCAAGAACCTTTTTCAAGAGGGTCCTGGCACAGGGATTATTTGGCCAATTATATTTCAATTAGTGTTTTGCATGTGGTAAGAATCCAGAGTAAATCTATGCGTACAAATAAAAAAAATACTCAAAGGAGGTCAGGACAGATGGGTTCCTGAATGTATTTGCTGTACTGCCATCTACTGGTCCCATTGGAGCCCACATGTGCTGGGAGATAACTGTTATGTTATAAACAAATCCTTGACTCCAAATAAAATGGATACAGGCACGCCTGGCAAATGCTATGAAGTCAGAAAACAGGCGTTTTCATTCATGAACCAACATTTTGAGAAGTTAAGATCTTGGGCCAAAGTTTATATAAAAAAATTACTTTTGTTCAATACGGAGGCATTCAATCAGGGAAATATTGTCCTTGCCAGTTAGATTTAGCTGGCAGATGTACATACAAAAAAATGTATAGGCTAAAGGGAAACTCTACAGCATGAATGTGTGCATGTGTAAATCTGTGGACTAGTACTGATCCAGGAGCACACACTAACGTGTTCAGATTGCTAGGAAGGGCCCATTGTGTATTTAAGTTTACACTCTTGAATCCGTGTTTAAAGATGATGTGCTCTTGGAGAATACATACTATTACACACATTATAATACAATGCAAGAGTACCTCATACGCAATTTGTGTCAAACTTCTCGACGGTAATGTGTAAATTAACATTTTTAGTGTTTAATGTTGGCTTTGAGCCAATTTTGCACCACTATTTCTTGGATGCTAAATGAAATTAGCACGCATCATTTCCACCAAGCACCAATATACCTCAGAGGAAATGGTGATGTTAAAATACAATTACAAAAATAACTCCAGACCCAAATGTGAAAAAATAATCCGGATTACCATGTCGTTTTTTTACAGACGAAATAATTTGAACAATTAATCAAATAACTATTCCCATTTTGCTTGCAAGTACGCAGAGATTTTGTGCAACATGACTGTCATAAACGCAGGTGTCGAGGTCTTGATTATGTGATACACCACACTGCCCTGGGCAGACAAGCGTTCGACATCGCAGTTATATTGCGTATCTGACGACTCGTGTTACCTGCCACTGCTCCACTCTCAAAAGGAAACATAAGCACCACGCCTTGATCATTAATGTGTACCAATCGTTCCTTTGTGTAAGCATTGAACTATTCCTCTGTGCCCGTGCTGCTGTAATGCACTGCACGATGGGCTGAAGTACAAAAAAATACAATACATTTCTATGGGTTTTTGGTTCACGGAATTTCCCAAGTGGCTTTTCTTTGTGTGTGCGCATTCATGAAAGAGATTTTCAACTGCACGCATTGCTAACCAGTCAGGAGAAGGGAGGAGTGGTCAGGAGGGTAAAGTCAGCTGGCACGGTTAGGCACCAAAGAACAGTGGTCGGTGGCGTTCAAATTACACAGCGGAGGAGGGATTGTCGCGCGCATTATACCCCGGGCCCAACATCGGCGCCCAGAAAATACCGCACACTCCACGCCTTGTGGGACATGACCGTCCGCCCGCAAGTTGCCGCTAGCGAGAGCAAAGTGTGAGGCAGCAAGTCTGAATCTTGCGAGGGTAGGGCTTCCTTTATCATGATTGGGCTGTCTTGGTGCACAGTGTGGTTAAATAACATAAAAAAATGAAATAAATAAAAACCTCCCTCGGTTCATACTACCTAAACGTATAGGAGGGTCACCTCGGCCAAACGGCTTTTGGATCTTGGGCTCTCAGACGCGTGTTCGCGCTGTTCGGCACAACATCCACACAGTACAACCTGAAAACACTGTGGAGGGATCTGCGGCGCAACTGTGAACATCTACGCGGTAGCAGGCGAACCTTCAAGAGGAACATTGCTCAACCCCATACACACCAACCATCCTCGGGGGCCACCTGTCTCGGCAAAAATCGGCAATGGATGAACCATCTGTGGTCACCGCTCTGCAGCCCCAGCTGTAACGGGAGATTGATCATTACTTTTTTTCCCTGCTAATGTCATCTGTGGGTTCCAGTACACCTCCACGGAGCGGCCCTGCACCGAGCGTGCTATTTTTAGCACGTAAACAATTACGTTGAGCCCTGCGGGAAGTGAGCAAATTTTTCACGCGCGCCGCTTTATCCGATGCAGCCCGCGCGCTCGATGTTAGATCACGAGAGGCGATCGCTCTTGGCAGGTTTTCATTTGGTCAGCCCCGTGCGCGCACTTCATTCCACCCCTCCACCCACCCTAGGTGCCTGTAGCTTAATTCCCCCCAAAAACGTGCTTCCGGGTCGAGATGACACAGCGCCTGTGTCCATCCTCACCGGGCATGGGGAGCCTCTGGGCCATCTGTCCTCCCCACTGCTGGCCCGGAGGCTGGTGCGTAAGCTGCTGCCCCAGGGCCTGGTGGGACATCATCTGCGGGCCTTGCTGCTGTTGCATGGGCATCAGGCCAGGCTGCTGAGACTGCTGCGGTTGCTTGGAAGACAGGAGGGCAGAAGAAACAGGCACGGTGATGTTGGTTGCTGGGTGACCGGCAAACAATTACATTAATAAGTAGATCATGCCACAAAAATGCACTTTAGTCCTGTCGTGCAATGAGTGCGGGAAGTAAACAGTTGCGATTTTTTTTGTATGGCTAAGAAGTCTAAAGGCACAGTCGATGTGGCATTACAAGTCTGCTTGCAAAGCACAGCGATATTGATCATCCACATGAACTCTGTACCAATCATGAGTGTTGAATGACAGGCCCAATAACCCCAGTGAAGAGAGCTGCTGTGGGGATAAGTATGAGCAGTATTGCTACTCTGGACTGCTGTGTCATCAAACCAAAACAAACTTATAGCATTTCATGTTCTGTTCCATCTAGTTTTTTCAACCAACAAATACCCCATTGCCAATAAGTAATGGATATTCTTTCCAGAGAGTCTTTACACGCAGCTTCCAAGGCAATACTTTTACACTGCACCTTCAAACACAAGACAATGGGAATTACAAATATTGAGCATGCAAGGAATGTGCCTTTGGGCAATGCACCTGCCAAAAAGTGGGAAAGTCAGGCCTCAAATCCGTAATCTGCCATGAGCTTAAACAAAACTCCATCCATCGCTTCAAGATCAACAAAGTAACTCTGCCCTCATTTTACCTACAGAAAATATGTCACGCGCCAAGACGGCACAATGGGCTTGTGCATCGTGACCCCAAGTAAAACGATCGAGTTAGCTCTGGCTGCAGATTTATTTACATCGAGTCACCTGCAATATCTTTAGTGCACACAGTGAATAGAAATATAACACAAGGCCGACGGGGAATGGGCCAAGAGGCTGCGGCCAACCGAAAAAGGAAAGCGACCACAAAGTGTACATCTCTGTCCCCCCAATGGAACGTACATTACCGATGCCCAGTTATCTTAGGCAGGCATGCGGTGTTGTGTGCACGTGGCTGAATAGAGCGCACGCCAATATGCCGAGCTATCTTACAGGCAGGCGTGTACAAGTCTCCGCTTAATGAATGGAACATGCACCGGCAAGCAAAGTTATCTAAGGTGAGCACACAGCACGTGGTATAATGCACCAGACAGAAAACTGCTGGGGGGGGGGGGGGCAGCAAGAGAGGTGATGTTTGGGGGGGGGGGTGCAGGAGGATAACTTCAACACGGGAATATCTGGCATGAAACGTGCCGCCATACTGTCGTCGACACAGATGTGTGGCTTGGCATTTTAGTGACGATTACTCGGCCATCCGACCTCTCGTAGGAACGGGGCTCCCTCTCCCGTCGGGCCAGCCCGCACGTTTGTCAGCGTTGGATGCGATCAGTGCGAAAAAAATGGCAATTGATTTAAGGCTGCAATTTAAGTCTGACCTATTTCAATCGGCGCTTGTCCTTTATGTGAAACGGCCATGCATTATCAACTCAAAGGGAAGACTTAATGACCACCGATTGTTAAGGCTGCCAATGGCGTACATACAAAGGGCAACCACTTCGGATTATTGCACGAGCGCAAGTCCTACTTACAGTCCTCGGTGTTTTTGACCAAGTGGACCACACCTAATTCCTATGCTGATTAATTGACCAAATACAAATGGCTAAATCACGAGGCAGCCACGGGTCACTTCCATACACGAGTCGTCCCTTTGTGTGGAAGCCAGGCTTATGATCGTATAAGCCTGGCTGCTTTCACACACGTGCCGATGAATCGGTCAGTCACCTGCTGCTGCTGCTGCTGCTGTTGGTTGAGAAGTAGGCTGCGTAACTGCGGGTTCGCCGTGGGGTTGGGCGGCCGAGGGGGCATGCCCCCTGCTTGGGCAGGGTTCGGCGCGCCCTGGCCCTGCCCCTGAGCCGGCTGCTGAGGACGCAGCTGCAGCTGCTGCTGCTGCTTCATGTGCTGCTACCCCAGCATACGGACAAACACGCGCGTCATTGCGGCGACACAGCTGGTGTTGCCCGGACACTTTCAAGAACACAAGCAACCGGCGGCGAGCCGACCCGCGCTCACCACCACGCGATGTCACCACAGTAGTTAGTGACTGAGACAGGTGATCGGTATGGGGAAACATTATCCGCGGAAACGCCCACAGCTGTGGGCGACATTAGTTTTATGGGTTGTTTGTTTAGAGGAGGGGGAGTAGATTTATATATGCAAATTAAAAAAAGGGGATGCTCACATATTTATATTAAATACGGGGAATAAAACAAAAGATTGTGCAAAACAAAGAAAATGACTATTAAGATTAGATCTTGTGATATTTTCCCCCTCCCTTTGCTACAAAACATACACAATAAATGATTCAGACATTTCAATCTCACAATTCCCAAGGAAAGTTACACGGTTTGCTTGTCAGGATGAGGTCCCTGCCACTTAATTTTGCACTGTGATCAATTTCAGGATGTATGACAGTTACACATCATGAATGATTTGTGAAAATGTGATTTTTTTTTTTCAAATGCATTATATAATCCACTTTCTGCAATTAAAATTTTACAAATAATCAAAAACGTATAAGTTTGACATTATACAGGTGTCTGTGTATATGTGCATGCTTGCGTCTACACGTAAAATCTGCATATTATGTTTACATACCCACGTGTACACGCTCATAATTTCCTTTTCACCGAGTGAGCACATATTATCAGTCCTATCAGGGATGAGATTATAGCCAAAAGTAATCCCCTAGCATATTTATGCAAGTTGTCCCATTTAAATTACGGTATCTGAAAATAAGTCCATTTGGGAGACAGCCGTTGCATTTTGACTTCAAGTTTAATTGGGACAAGGCTAAACAGCCAAATGTAGCATCTGCGCTCCTGCTAATTTCAAATGTTAACCCTTCATCCGACCCATTCAGTGGGAGCCATTACCACACATTGCTATGATTCAAACGGCAATCTGTGTCAATTTTTATTGCAGCCCGATTGATTAATTTTCTTTTCTCCCAATGCCTCCTACCTCCACCAAACCTGGCGAAGCACTAAAAATGGGAAGCCGATGTACAGCTCCTTTGTCGATCCACTGCTTGACGAAGGCTGTGTCGGTCGTGGGGCGTTGTCTGACCGTGACGTCACCACACTCGCCAGTGAAGATTGCCGAAGAGGGGGCGCGTGGCATCGGTTCAGATGACACTCGCCACTGATATTTAACGGGAATCTAACTCAGGTCGGCAGGATTCATCGCGCAGTTTGCTAATCGTTGCCCCGCCGCTCCCCTCTATATTTTTATACCTATTGCCGGGTCTTATACTTCCTTTTAATGGCCATCACCATCATCACTTCATCCATCCTCGGCTGGAATAAGGGCACGGTGCAGATTTGGCACCAAACCAGGGCACACACTTCCTATGTAAAACCCACTGGCTTCGAGAGCTCGAGGGTCAGCCCAGATCCTTAAACGATTCCGAGTGGACGGAGGGGCTTCCCGAGCGGAGGTAACTCCCCACCTGCTGCATCTGCAACTGCTGCACTTTCAGGGCCTGCTCTTTCTTCTGCGCTGCCTCCAGCGTCTGCTGCAGGGCCTGGATGTGACGCTAGGCACGCAAACAAAGGGTCGCACAGTCGGGGAATGAGAACGTCAAGTGCACGCGGAAAACAAATGAGGCGGTAGAGGCCCTCGAACAAAACAACAAAAAAGGAGCAAGCACTAAACAAAATGGTAAATGATCACCTGTAAACATTGCACAAAGTCATCATCAAAAATCCCAAGTCACAGATGGGCAAAACAGTACCATGCCATTATGATACTAAATGGTATTACGAATGCTAACGTCAGAGGGAGGAGGGGGGGGCCTGAGTGAGGGTCAGTCTCAGACTAAAAGGAAGGAAGCGTACAAAACACACCAGGTTTTGCTGCCTTTGCTCCTCCAAGTTCACTACTGCCGGAGGGTTCGCCATTCCTGCACCTGGTAGCTGCGAGAACACAGGTGGAGGAGGGGGATAGGGCACCAGGTGTTCGGTTAAAAGACGCAATGAGCTCTGCCGCTGAGAAGGAGGCAGGCGAGGAATTATTGTTGTCATCACTGTACGACGTTGCACCGCAACGCGTCCCGCAACTGAGCTCGCGTTAATGGATCGTGCCAGACTGCGCCGCCAACGAAAAACGCAACCGTTGAAATTTTAAGAAAGTAAAAAGAAAATGACAAAGGCACGGGCAGGAGCCACGCCGAACACAGAAGCAGTGTCGGGAAATGTGTGGCAAGGAGGTTATGACAATTGGGCAGCCGGAAGACTGCACCTGAGGGAACGAATGCGAATCCAAACGACCGAGGAGGGGGAAATGCCGGCAACGTCTCGTTAAACTGCGTCCGGCCAACAGCGGGAGTTAAACGGTGGCTGCAGATGCCTGAAAGAACACGCGCTGCATTAAGGAGGCAAGGAGGCGCCAACTCGGTAGTGCTCCACACTCGGATATGTCCGCCGTGAAGGTGCCGCGGGTCCTGATAAGGCGCTATCTGCATGAACAAGGGACGCGGTACAAGACCATTAAATGCAGCCCACGGGCACGGATTTTCCTGTGCAAGCAAGCGTCGTGGGGGAAGACAAGTCAGACAGTGATGATGCAAGGAGGACTCCCCCGGTGCTCCAAGGGCCTGCCGTGGCACCTGCATCACACGGCAATGTCGGACGACTTGCGTAAAGCGCAAACGAAAATGAAAGAGGACTGAATCCCGATCACACACAAGCACTCGATACTCAGCAACGTGAAGAGAAAGGTACCGGCCGTGATCAGGATGTTCCCTTTATTCACGTGTGCCCGTGTGCCCCTTTCAAGGTCTGCACTCGTACATACGTTTGGAGAACAACTGCATTAAGATGCTCTATTCAAAATGTGGCCGCTTGCCTTCCAGTGGCTTTTATGCACTTCTTTGCCAGACCCTAATTGTGGATACAAAAGCCTCGTCTTTCACAAAAGAAAGCAAATTTTAATCTGCTCCAGCTACATAGAGCTCATCAGTGCTAAACAAACAGCACACGTGATTTTCAATGAGCAATACAAAGTCCATTAGTGGATTCCCTTCTGCTGTCACAAGCTGCCTTGTTGCTTCGGGCTCCTGGCTAGTTTCCTATTATTGTTTTTATTTTTACAAGCCAAGAGGGGCCCAAATACTGCATGACAAGTGTCTTTTTGGCAAACAAATCCGGTTCTCTCTTTCTGATCCATGTCAACTGCGTGGCGAAAACCGCTTATGGAACACATCCCATTGGCCTCGAGTGGTGCCAAGAAAGAACCGACCGAAGATGTCCCAACCTCAAAGACCCAAACATCAAAAACAATCGTTAAGACTTTCTTCGTATGGTTACTGCTGCATTCGTACATCCGATACAATGCACACAGTAACACAGTGGTTCATCGCGTGACAATAAACAAACAAGGCATCCGGTGCTTCAACAAAACAAGGCCTGCATACAAAACAAACACGCGCAAGGTTTTAGAATACAAAGCAAAGAGTTCAAAGGGGACTGTGGTAGTGGGCATGTATTTATGCACACCGGCCATACCTGCTGGGCAGTGGGCTGTCCGGTTGGCCCTCCGGGCTGGCTGGGGAACCCCGCAGAATTTGGAACGCCTGTGGGGGGCTGCCCCGAAGCCCCCGGCTGTGGCCCCGCACCCTGCTGCTGAGCGCCCCCCTGTCCTGGTTGCTGGGGGCCCCCCGGACCTCCGCCCATCTGCTGCTGCTGCTGCTGACGAAGAGAGCAACACACGGCCACTGGGGTTTTAGAACGACGGGGGACCTTGCTGACGATAATAAAAAAAAAAGGATAACTCAATGCGCCAGGTCAGTTACAGTTAAAATATTAACAAGTTTTGGCTGAGAAAAAAAAAACGCATATTGCAAGGGTTTACGTAATGCATTCCAATGTGCGTTTGTGTTTGGATGTATTTCACACGGCAATACAGAATCCTACGGATGCTCAGCTGCAAAATTCCAGATCGTGCTCGAATTTGTGTCTCTAAGTCTTGAGCTAACCCTTTGATGGATTTGGCAGGTTTTCAACAGTCCCAAATAGCAACACAGTTCTATATTGCAGCTTACAGACAGATGGCCAGAGGTAACGTATAAACGCCTTCAATATTAGTTGAAAGGCATTAATAATGACTTCCTTACCCATGACAGCCTCATGGAGTCTCAAGACTCATTCAGTATGGTGTTAAAGTATGGCCAATTTTATAAATAAGTATTTGGCATGACAGAATGCTCTTCTACAAATGAATGATGAGTTGAAATTAAATGCTATGAACTCAAGTGTGAAAAGGAAATTACTTCAATTATTTGTGGGATGTATTTCTCAGCACAAATGTGTAAAAAAATTATCTTGCATGCTTATACTGTACATAAATGCAATGATAAGCAGGCTATATATCCACATATATAATAAATGTAAATACGAATGTACAAAAGTAAAACATATATCAAATACAGAGACAGGTATATTGATAAAAGCATAACATATCACACAATTAACACATTCCTGCGGAGGGAGCTGGTAGGAACGTTGGGTTACTCGGTCAATGGCCAGGGTCAACGGCGGCGTGGTGTATTCCACAAATATTCCCGACTCTGAGGGCGGGCACAAGCCGGCGTGAGTAGGTTAAACGTTGAGTTTTATAAGGGCACCACGGGGTGACCAGCCCCACCCCCCACCCAGCCCCACCCACCCCACCCAGCCCCTCCCTCCCTTCCCCACCCTCCCCTCCCCACCCTACCCCTCCCCACCCTATCCCTCCCCACCCTCCCCACCCAGCCACTCCCCACCCTCCCCTCTCCACCCAGCCCCAGCCCTCCCATTTTTGGATGCACGACGGACGGACACTATAATCCCCTGTGGGCTGGTGGAACCAGGTGGTTCCTACCAGTATAAGGGCATAATCTATGTAAGAAGACAACTGAGGACGACTGAACTGTGTGTAAACAGACAAGAGTTTCCATCAGAGGTATTTCTGGGTTAGATTGCGGAAATATAAATGTGTCGTTAAACCCTCCACCACCCGACACAGCCAATTAGTAAGGCTTGTCATGTAAACAGAACATTACAATTCGTTACAAGTGCAGCACACCAGTGTGTTTACATGAAAAACCTTGCTAATTGGCTGTGTCGGGTGGTGGAGGGTTAAACGACACACTTATATTGACGCGAGCTAACCCAATAAAACCTCTATTATGGATAATATTGGCCGCGAAAGCCTACGTGTTAAACAGACATTAGTAGTAATACTACACTCTAAAGCAAGTGCAATGTTATACACATTTGCACGCAGACACGCACACGAGCACAGCATGTTGACTCTTGTTTCAGGCCCCATAATATTCCCGCAATGCTAATTTGCTCATTTTGTTTCAGCCCAACATCCAAAGTGAACTGCAATTAACATTTTATTCCAATTAAAAAATTCCCATTTACGGGAACAAAGCACAATAGCTCAGGCTCCCTCTTTAATTTTGTGCACAACATCAAAATTAACTTGAAATAACCTGACAGTAGAATTACAGGTTTACAATTCCACCATTAGAAATATGGCAAATTGATTATTAAATACATACAATTTTTTTTATAGGCGAAATTAAATTATAGCATTTTGGGCCAGTAGTGATCCCTCTGCGTATGCTGCGCTACCCATTTTTGCACGTCACTCCGGTTTCTAATAACGTTTTATTATTTCCACACGCAGACACAAAAAAAAATACAACTGTGACCATCTGGGAATACCAACAGAGCTGTGGGCCCATCTCCTTTTGATATCTGCCTGCACTCAGCACAGCACCGCCGAGACCACAGCACCGTCATATCACACACGTCGCTCGGCACAGACCAGAATCCACGAGCAGAGAGAGACAGACAGAAGGAGCCCACCCGGAGATTCACAACGCGCAGTTCCCGTGACAATTCCAGCCCAATCCAACCCAACGTTTTAAACAGAAGTGCGATATGGATCGCCAACCGTCTATCCGACCGACTGACCCACCGACCCTGGATCTTTGTGTTGGTGCACCGTTTGAGCAACGTGTTTTGTCGACATTTTTTCACGGCATGAATGAACGCAGTTATAAATCAACTGAGCCAGCGGGTTGAAAGAGCTTAACCAGATGAGCTAGTTTTAGATTATATTATTATTTAAAAAAATAAAGCCATGCCAACGGATGAGAGGCAACTCCTTTTTTCTTTGCTTTGCAAAAAAGCACTCCTTGTACGATAAAACACTGATTAGCCTTAGGGCCCACACTCCTCAGATCTAAAGCACCACCTGTTTCATGCCAAGGGTCCCAACTGCTAAGGGCTACTACTCTTCTCCCTGCTTGCAGCACAGCAGTGCTTGTTGCTCAATCCAAGAACCTCCTAGACTGCCCAAAGAAAAGGGAACTCCCAATCTTTTCTACGTTTTGAATAGAGAGGAGGAGGATAAAAACAAGCAGAACTTCTACACACAGCAGCCACTGTAATGAATGAGCCAAACGATGTGCATCACCGAAATCCTCGGCTTTCAAACGGCCGGATGTCCGTTTGTGTGGAATGAACGCCGAAGACGAGCCGTGCCGCAATCGGCGAACAAGGCATCCCCTCAATCGCCGCCGTCTGCTTAAGCAGGACTGCAGCTGCCCCGATATCAGTGCCCACCCCGCCTCCCTGGGAAGGCCCCCGCACCGGTCGCCCTGGCGACAGCTCCAACGCGCACGACAGCTGCAAGACGACGACAACGGCCAGAGAGCTACGGCGTCGGCAAAGACGAGGCCCTGCGACGGCATCCCGCACAAGCGCGGTGTGAGCAGCCGCTTAGCCTCTATGGCCGCGCGTGGAGCTATGGGGCATTCTTAACGTAACTGAACAAAAATGGAGCAATTTTTTTACGAATTACATGAATTGCCTGAGGCTGCAACACGGTGATTCAAACTGACACTACTCGCCAATTGCAGCTCACATGTCAGGGAAACTATGGCAAACAATGCCCCTGGAGGGAACATCCATTAAAATCAGATTTGGTTGTCATTTTGGAAACGACCTAAATCAGCGGTTACGCGCAGCATAAAAGCTGTCCTCGCTTAGCCTAAGCCCCGGCAAGCCTGATCAGCCATGTGCCCCACTTGCTTGGCAAAAAGGTGCACCCCTCTGTGCTTACAGAAATGACCTCCTCTCTCAAGTATAAGGATGCCTCCCCCTCCCTTCCCCACCGTGTCATTTAGATGAATGCATCTTCCCTTCCACTACTCTCCTTCTGTCCCTCTCAACCCAGCCTGTGACAGCAGCCCAATGATCGCAATGATTGGAAGGCAAGGAAAAGGGGGTCGCGGGGATACGGGGGTGGGGGGTCGGGCCGGGGTGGTGGTGGACGTACGCTTCGCTGTTGCTGTGCCTTCTTGTGGTTGGTGATAACCATGCGGATGCCGTTGACGAAGCCGCTCTGGTCGTTGGGGATGAGGCCCATGAACATTTTCTTGCGCGACGAGTAGAGCAGCATGAGCACGCGCACCTCGCATGGTGCACTGTTCGGGAAGTGCACGCAGCCCGCCTGCCAGGGTGGAACGCGGCACGGCGCACCGGGAGGGGCGTTAGAATGGAGCGACAAGATTCTGGGTCTTTGCGCACGCCCGGATGTTGCAGAGCGACTGATAACGAGAGTCTATGTCCTACGCGTAGGTTTTCTTGCGGTTGTGCTGTGCGATTCTCCGATGTGCGTTCAGGTTGTACCGCGTTTTGTTATGAATAACGGATTTAAATTACAATCTCAATAGAGGTTATTTAAAAAAAATCGTTAAATATGTTCACAATGCTCTCCTCTTACAAATGATGCCACAGGCTCTTTAATGTCCAGTCTACAGTAAAGATAGATGCTTTGGAAAACTACAGCATGTGCTCACTGCCGTGGCAGATAGGACATGCTTCTGTTTACACTCTCAGCCGATTAACATCCAATTAAATAAAAATACCAATTATGATTACAGGGATTTTTTTTTATCCAAAGCATTCATAAGCGGTTAGGCTGAGCCTATCAAATTCATAATCAGGACAGACTTTCTGAAGGAGTATCAGCATCTTTTGTTCCTCGGGTGGGATGCTTTCATTTGTGCTTTTTTTATATTTGCCCAATATTCATTGTAGCTTGCATTTTAAACAATCACGCAATCTATAACCCTCTGTTTTTACTCCAAGAAAAAGCCCATTACATAGCCGGTAGCATCCACAAACCGCTAAAAATACCTCATCAGACTCACAGCATAAGCAGCTCCCGCACGCTCTAAACAGAAAAAAACAACCGCCACCGTTCCAAGCCTCGACGTCAGCTGCATGTAAATTTACATGTGCAGATTTTTTCTCCTCCATCTCGAAAGCATTTCGCTAACACAGGAAGTGATCCCCCCCCTCCCGCACGTGTAAATGTGGCAACTGACACTAAAGTGGGTAATTGTCCACGGTGGCGTTTTAGATTTTTTGTTCCAAGTGAGCCGTCACGTCGAAGGAACCGTGTGCTACTCACGAATCCCGTGGCCATGATGCGGTAGAGCGCCTTGAGGGACTCCACGTCCGAATTGCTGAACTGAAACTGCACCATGCGCGAGTTCTTAAACAGCGGGCCCAGGCTGGACTGCGCGTACGGGAACACGCAGAGAGACACGCGCGCACACGCACGCACGCACAGAGGACATCAGTCGCCGGGTTTGTAGTGTGGTACACATAAGCATATACTGTTCCAGATGCGCTGGTATGTATGTTGAACTTCTTTCGCACTGTATGTAGCCAATCATGCTAATCAGAGGTGTGACCGTCTGGAACACTCTTCCTTCCGATATTACGAAGTCACTGGAGCTATGCACTTTTGCATCTAACTCATTTCTTTAGAACTGGTCCTTCCCCTGCACTTGCGATTGGCACAGTTGGCTACGTACGGTGTGAAAAAAGTTCAAAATACACACTCACACGTGCAAATATAAAGAACAATTAAACCCTTAACCTATGATTCGCTTATCATGCCGTCTCCATGGCAGGGGCAGACTAGCATCCAAATGAAAGCAACTGCAGCGAAAGCACAGCAGAACTGACGCAAATGGACATTTTTTTTTGTCATTGCACCATGTGTCCTACACCAAGTGCTACACAAAAAAAAATAATGTGCACACACACGCTTGAACACACGAACAAGGGGAGAGATCCATAGTTCAGTCTTTTCAATCATTGAAGTAGGTGCTGTTAGCAAACACTTATGCAGCATAGCGTGACACAAGGCACTGCAGTGGCCAGTACTAACACCAGCCACCTTTGTCTCCCCCGTGTTGATGCTGATATTGTATCGGGTACTCATTAATTAAGATGGGGTAATCTTAGCAAAGGTTATGCGAAGTGCAAATTGCATTTTCCACTGGGATTGTGCATAGCAAAGAACTGTGTGCGAATTATACTACCACAACTCATATGTACATTAATAGAGTTGTAAAAAGTCAAAGATCCTCTGTATAGCCTTTAACAGACTGTTGGGGCAAGTGCTGATCGCGAGTATTTATGGGTGGCCAGCACCACGCCCGACCACCTTTGTCTCCCTAGTGGTGATATTTTACACACCGCACCAGGCACTCATTTGGGGCTGAGTCGACCTAGGGGAGGCCCAGGACCAGTTCAGATAATCGTCAATGGCGTTGGCCGTGAGCGGGAATCGACCTCGGGTTGCCGGATCCGTAGCGCAGTCCGCTAAATGGCGACACTACCGCTCCACAAGTGAAAAAGACAAAGATCCCCCGTATAGCCTGTAACAGACTGTTGGGGCAAGTGCTGATCGCGAGCACCTATAAAGGCCGGCACGGCACGCGCGGGGGTGGGTGGCCAACACCACGCCCGGCCGCCTTTGTCTCCCTCGTGACAATGTTTACACATCGCACCAGGTACTCATTTGAGGCTGAGTCGACCTAGGGGAGGCCCAGGACCGTTTCAAATAATCGTCATTGGTGTTGGCCGTGAGTGGGATTCAAAACCGGGTCGCCAGGTTCGTAGTGCAGCGCGCTAACCGCTACACCACAAGCTCACACGCACACAGCCAGAAACTCAAAGCCATCAAATTGGAACACAAGAGTTGAACTCGTACGAGGGCTGTTATCAGAACAACTGAGAAAAGAGTTGACACCTGTGTGTGTCCCTCTATTTTAGGAAACATAGCTTCGAGTACAGAGGGCATGGCCCTCTATGTAGTCAAGGCCTCTAGTACATTGCAATGTCACCAGTTCAAATTTTTTAACGCCAACAAAAAAAACTTTTCTTGACATTAGGTGAGAAGGCTGCATCACTTGTCTATGCCCAAGTACTCATGCCATAGGGACCAGATCACCACCCAGCAGTTGCCCGCTGTCTTTCAACAAAATAACTTCATTTGTAACCCCACTGCTGCTAAAAGCTGTATCCTCTCAATCCAAAATCCCAGCCAACACAGGAATTTAGCAGTGCTAATAAAATGACGTGCTCGCTTTGCACATATGCCACTCGGAATGAGAGAGTTCTGTCGAAGCGATGAACTGTAGCAATAAGTAATGAAGCATGGGCTAGCTAAGAGGCCAATCATGTGGTTGGGCATATTGACACATTTGTATTCAATTAAGTCAATGTACTGCATGCATTTCTACCGTGAAGCTGCTTACTGATTAGCTCTGAGCACTGAATACTCACCGCTCATCCATCACAGGCAAGTTAACACACTGCCACCAATACACAATGGATTTATTTTGAAAAGCAATTTAGCTTCAAGATGCCTTACAGTTATTGTGTATGTGTCACCAAGACTATGTAAAATAAAAGCTACAATTGCCACCACCGAGTCGTGCTTTCAGAAATCATCTGTTCATTAACTTAAAAAGAGCGTTCGTCCCTCTATATAGCTGTATTACACAGTTGTCACAATGCTCTCCGGTGAAACACAGCCTTGTGTTGCTCTCACAGCCTCGGCATGCATCAGAGGTTGTTGAGCTTTGCGATTGAAGACAGGGAGGCAGACTGGTCAAAGGGAATGGCGTGGATACATGTTCTTTTATATTTTACACGAGCATCTCTTGGGACTGAGACTGGGCTCGACGTTCGAGACTACTGCAAGGTGATAAGATTTGACCGGACGGATCAAACGAGTTTCAATGAAAATGTATAACTTTTTTTTTGTTTCCATGTAAAATTAAAACATGACCTTTAAAATTAGAAACACACTCGCTGTGATTTAGCAACACGACAATGCAGTGTACAACAATACCGCTGTGCGGAGGAGATGGTGAGAGCGGGGCGAGTGTGTTGGACAGGTGGATAACATACAAATGAAAAAGAAAAGCTAAATAAATTCATGGGCTAAGTTATGAAGGAATGATACTTCTCTTTCACCGCTATGAGAAAATGGAAACAATTCTGCGCGAGGATGAACGCACAAAGAATGCTTGCTTGCACTCTGTTGAAAGGTCACAGTGTAAACAACAACTGAATTCCATAGTTACAGAGGTGCTCACCAACAGCTGCTGTGGAATGAGCTGCATGATGAGATTTGGAGGCCACTGGTCCGTTTTCCTGTTGAAGGAACACAATACACCCACACACGCAGGATGATGAAATCGGAGAGAAAGTAGCATCGAGCTAATTAAATAACAAGCAAGGAAAAACCCATTGTTAGTCTCCTTCCAGTTGCTGCAATGACAAGAGGTACCTTGATCATTACTTGTAGGGTTTTAGTTAAAGAAACATTCTCAAATGTGAGAAAATGGCAATTATTAATTGCGATAATTGTTCTTTAACTTACCGGTGAGCTGAATGGATAATATTTCACGTGTTAAATGCTTGAACATTGACAATTTAATTTGCTTGTCCATGTCAAGTGGTGAAGGGTCTTCATGATACAAAATAACTATTTGGTCAGATTATGAAGTGGCCTAACCCAAACAATCAATTATGAACCGCCATCATTGGTGACAATGACTGACATATTCAAGTAAAACCTACAGCCCTTTGTCAATGCACTGCTAGACGAAAGCCTCCCCCGCGCTATCATGATCATGGTTATTGCTTGACTACAATAAGCCGCAATGGTTTGTGGTGAAGAGACCGTACTTTGGACTGGTTCAGACATTTACTCGCCACTGATGTGAGCCTTGAAACTCACATTTGAACCACCCTGCCACCACTCCGCCCAGTGATAATTGTATCACCTTACCATTGGTAAGCATATCACCGCAAAGTGCAGCATCAGCACACGTTAAAATAATTTAACCGGTGGAATTTGATTAAAAGAGGTGATAGATATCAATATCTACATAAAGATAAAATTAACAGGAATATATTAAATAAAATGACAACAATTATCCATCATGATAGTGAATAGAGAGCCCATCTCAAAAGGATTCAAAGCTTTGTCTGGAAGCCAACGGAGAGCCATCTGTTTTTCAAAAGCGCTATTCCAAATGCAAATAAAATGTCACTGCAAGCTTCTGCACTGAGAGAAAACCACATCGAGCACTCATTGGTCGATTGTAAAGGTTTTATGAACAGCAATTAGTAGTGATCGTATAAGGAGAATGCCTTGGCGAATGCTGCTCAGTTAAGTGGTTTTTGAAAAACTGGAACAAGTGAGTGTGTCAGCGCAAGACAGTCGTCATTACGTACAAAGACTCGCCCTGGCTGATGAACACGTGGCAAGCGAGAGACCGGGTCAACTTGGTATTCGGGTCCAAGGAAGCAGGCTTTGGTTTCTGATGGAAACAATGAAAAATTTACTTTTCTGGAACACAATACATAAGCCACATTCAGTCAACGGCGGTGCTGTATGTGGAATACATATTATTTCAAATGTAGTGCTAAGCAGAGCCATGAGTATTCTGTGGTGAATGCTAAAACTGCTTTATTGTTGAAAGACAAGCCTTAATGAACACAAAATAAACAAGTCATTTACCTAATTAACCTTCCGTCAAAACTTAATCCGCAAAGTTTCAATGCAATATCTTAAGCGTACCTAGTGAAGATATACAGCATTTAAATGGCAAATCAAACGAATTATGAAATTTAAGTAAAACACTAAAGATTGGAATAAGGATTAATTGTTGTCAGTCTGTCAATTATGCATGTGCTAAAATTTACATAAAACCATCACTGCCTAAATTTTCTCCAATTACTCTTCATCGCCATCTTTCAATCACACGTATGAAATATTGAAATTTGTTCTCGGCATCATTTTTCCCCCACACTTCAATATCAACAGTAAAAGACTCATATCAGCCACCAGCCTTAATCCGGCGAGATAAAAATTCAAAGCATCCAATACTCGGGGCGACCCTGACAGCGTAAATACGGGTGTAATATTCCCATGGCTGGCTTAGAGCTTGTGCGTTTGCAGGCAGCGAGCATCTTGGCTCGGGGACAGATGGCCTCATCTGATTTCCCAGAACACGACATCTCACTTGGCGGCTGTGTTGGAGAATAGTAATGATGATGAAAATGATAACCGTGGGCTCGGGAATGATGTGCGACTGACAGCGACTGCTGCGACCTCCGACGGGCCCGTTCCGAAGGGAAGGTGTTTTTTTTGTGTGCTGCTCCCTTAATGTGAGGGCATTAAAGAAAACAACCAAGGGCTGAAAAAGGACAGCCCGTGGTTTACAGACGTGATGGCAATGATCGTAGTGGTGGCGGTAGTGATCATGGTGTAGATGGTGGTTACGAATCCACAATTAACAAAGATGACTTGAACGTACAACTCCAAATCCATGCATAATGCATTGCAGGTTATTTGAGTATGCTACACTATACAGTACATGTGTATACACACAACAAAGATAAACATACCCTGCTTATACTTAAAAGGCTGTTCGAGCAAATGCTGTTAGCGAATACCTATTAAGGCTGGTGTAGTGCTCAAGGGGGTGGTATGGCTAACGCCAGGGTCTGTCGCATACTGCTTGTGTTTACAGATCGTGGCGAGTCCTCATTTAAGGCTGAGCCAACCTAAGGGTGGCCCAGCACCAGTTCTGATGTCACTCGCCACTCATGATGTTAGCCACGGCTGGGAACCGAGCTCACCGGATGAGAACAGTCGTCCAACCACTGGACGACTGTTCTCCATTAAACATATGCACAAAAACAAGCACACATACATACACAAGGCACAAGAACAAAGACCCCCCCCTCCCCTGCAGAGCCTTAAGCAGACTGTAGGAGCGAGTACTGTTCCATGAGCACCTATGAAGGCTGGCACGGAACACGAGGGGGTGGGTGGCCAGCACCACGCCCGACCGCCTTTGTCTCCCCAGTGGCGATATTTTTACAAACTGCACCAGGTACCCATTTGAGGCTGAGTCAACCTAGGAGAGGCCCAGGACCAGTTCATAAAATCGTCACTGGTGTTGACCGTGAGCGAGAATTAAACCCGGGTCGCCGGGTTCATGGTAGAGCGCGCTAATCACTGCGCCACCGCTCCCTCAAGGCACACACACACAAATAACACAAACATACATATGCATGCGTAGCACATTTTGTAGAAAACAACCTCGTAAGGCTATACATGGGCAAGAATCATTTCCAGCCTTATTCACTGCCTTTTTAACAGTTGATGATTGAAGCAAAAAACACCCACCTCCTGCCACTCGAGAGATCCTGACCACACGGGCACCTTGTTTGCTGCACCAGGGACCCCACTAGGCATGGGCTGAGCTCCGGGCAGCTGCAAAAAAACATAAAGACGGAACGATTTAACGGACAGCGGGACATTTTGACAAAAGGACGGACAGATGGATGGACTGGTAGATAGACAGACAAGACAGAGTGACGACCATGGAACTTTAAAGCATAAGCACTCACAGGGCATTATTCCCCACTTCCCGTTCCGACACTCTGGACCTGATCATGCAAGCACTGCAAGGTGTGTTCCCTGATGATGACGCAGATAGAAGCAGGGTCTGCACTTGTCAGCAAGTGGTAAACATTGGGTCCTTCGAATTTAATTTTCCTTCCCACGACAAAATGTAACTTGCACAACTGGCACAGGGTTGAAAACAGGAGATAAAGAGTCTCCTTTGATTCATCTTCTTGGTTCTTTCTCCTTTGATTGTTTAAGTGCAACCCTTTTGACTTTTGATTGTTTCCTGTCCGGTGTGATTCACGTATTGGCGGAAGGTTACTTGAGCCTGCTTATACTGGTAGGAACCTCCTGGTTAAACCAGCCGACAGGGGATTATTGTGTCCATCGTGCAGGGAGGGGCTGGGTGGGGAGGGAGGGGCTGGGTGGGGAGGGAGGGGCTGGGTGCGGATGGTGGGGAGGGGCTGGGTGGGGAGGGTGGGGCTGGGTGGGGAGGGGCTGGTCACCCCGTGGTGCCCTTATAAAACTCAACGTTTAACCTACTCACGTCAGCTTGTGCCCGCCCTCAGTCAGGCAAATTTGCGGAATGCACCACGCCGTGGTTGACCCTGGCCATTGATCGAGCAACCCAACGTTCCTACAAGCTCCCTCCGCAAGAATGTGTTGAGCATATCACCAAGAATGCGGCCGCAAACTTTCATCAGATCTCAGAAGCTAAGCAGGTTTTTGAGCTTGCATAGTACATCGCTGGGTGATAAACAATGCACGCCAGACTCCTGTGGGGCTGCGTGGTAGACAGCAGAGGGCAGGGCAGCAAAATTAATTTATTCACTGGAATGTCTATGTCTATTCTCCATGCCTGAATCGATCCTCCACCCACCATTGTGAATTATGATCAAATAACCCCCGTGACCTGCACAGCATGGGGAGGGGGGGGGGGGGCTCATATAGCAGTGGACTTACAAAAGGGCTGTGCATGTAAGCCAATCGGGGAGCTCCATCTGGCAAATGTGATGGAAAAACTAACAAAAAAATGCCCTGCCAGACTTACACAAGAATTCCTCCAACATGTGAATTGTGCAATGTATGATTATATTGATTTATCAGGGATGACTTTCAGATCTGAAAATGCCAATTTAGGGTTTAATTGAAATGTCAGTGGTTTTTTTGGGATGCCATATTACACTACTTCTGGTTGTAGGATAAAATCTAAACAAACATACATTTTCGCACATCGGCCTGATTTTAGAATGTTTTGATTAATCAGAAAATTGGAACCAAATCTCAAGTACATGTACATATATATACGCACACACACTGATAAGGGCATGTGCAGTGGCATGTGGTATATATTTAACCTTAAACGACGACCTGGTGCGGTGTGTATATATTAGCACTGGGGAGGCACAGGTGGCTAGCCGTGGCGCTGTGCATACCACCTGCTCGTTTGTTGCGCTGACCTTAATGGGTGGTCACCAGCAACATTTGCCCAAGGTCACTAAAGCTTTCGGGTGTATATCTGCCTGCGTGTTGTAAACATACGAAGTGGATTGACGATCCGTGTGTGCATTGTCACACAATGTACAAAAAAGACGGGAAGAAGTTGAGATTGCGTTGCAGAAATAGCCCCCAGAGGAGCGGCACAGCAACTCACGGTGATCTGCGGCTGCTGCTGCTGTTGTCCCCCAGCTCCTCCCGTCTGCTGCGACGCCTGCATGCCGAGCCCCTGCTGCAGCTGCTGCGTGGGGTTTTGCTGTGGTCCCTGCGGCTGTTTTGCCACCGCGATCCCTACAGTGGGGACGTTTGTGACACCGGCCTGTGACGGCCACAGCGGGGAGGGCGGGCGGACCAAGGCAAGAGTGAGCGCGAGGGGTTGCCCCCGGGGGAATCGAAGCGAGAGATTCCAACTTAAAAACACCCGAGCCGTAGACAATTACAAAACGCACACAAGGTGTTGTGAAAGACTGGGGCAAAAACATATAATTGGTGTTACGTGTGAGATTCTGCCATATCTTGTTTGGGAAAGAATCCGATTTCTTGTGTTTACACAGTAGGATCGCCAATGGCTGGGGAGAGTCTGGCAATTTCAAGACAATATTTGCATAAATTCAGAAAGCAGGTGAACAAAGATTCAGTGCGAACTACACGTTTATGATTCGAACAAAGCGACCACGAAATAGGAGCAAAAAGGCTCCACTGCTGGTGTGGATTCTGAGCTAAGAAAGGTATGAGCCAAACAAGCCTTCTTGCCTCTACTCCCATCTTTGTGGTTTCGGGACTTGATTGACCCTTTTTCATTATTGTACTTGAACAATGGGCAGAATTGCGAATTGGATACTCACATGTGCACCAGCTAATTAAAAAGAGAATATATATAAAAAAACAACTATTTGATTTATTATCATTTTCATTAATTTGGTGTATTCAATATTCTTTTAGCCCACACAAATTAAGCAGGGATTCAGGATGCCATTCGTACAAGTGTGGTTTGACCAGCAACATTACGCATTCCAGACTGTGGTGGGTATTAAAGGAGCCTTGCAGGTGACATTTATTATTGGCCTGATGTATAGCGGTGGAAAGTGACATATCAGCATTCATCCAGTTAGGCGAGCAGGCATGCTCGTGTAATGTGTCTGCTGAGCCGCGCGATGGCATTTTCTTTATCAGGGGCCAGTGATGAGAGATCACTTCAAGACTGCAGCAGAGAAACGGAAAATTTGAATGTCGCACGTCAGCTGCCAAGCCGTTTGCCGACATGCTAGACCCCGAGTCCCGAGTCACAAACCTGCGTAATGCGTGATAAACAAGCTCACAACAGCACTGTAAAAAAACTATCTCTGTGCGGAATATCTGAACGTAAGAGGAATTGTGCGATCGCACCTTGCTCTCTGGAGCCAAGTCAATGAGACAGGCTGTCACTCCAAGATCTAAATAATACATGTGTTGTTGTTGTTGTTATTGTGGTGTGTACATGGTCCTGGAAGAAATGTGATTAATAATCTCTTCATGCAATTTTACAGACAAGAGAGATTACTCTGCCAGTCTATTGTATGCATACCTACCCATCAGTGCCATCGGACACAAAAAATAAACCCCTTAAACAAATTTGGAAGTCACTGCAGAATGTAAATTTAAATATTAACATAGATCATACATTTTGTGTAAGGCACAAGATTTGCAAAGGCATTTTATTATTGCACCATTGACGCTCCTGACCATAATTGCTTCATATATTCATAAATTGACAAGGGATAAAAAATAATGCACATGTATGGATTTTGTAAATTCTTTCAAACATGCGTTTGTTATCGCAAGTATTTAATTAGCAGTAACATTTTATTTCAAGCCACACAATGAGATGATTTAATGATGTTATGGGGATGTGAATTTGCTTATGGCGCGTGACCTTACCGCCTTAGCTGTAGCACTTATCTGTTTAATGCCGATTTCTTAATTGCCACATTTTGGGTAACCCCTTGATATTAATGTGGCCAAGGATAAGTCCCCAACAGTAACATAATTTAAGTAAAATTAAATTAATATTGGATTATTTTTACGAGAGGAATCGAGGCCCCATCCACAGGCGGACGGAGCTAATACGGTAACGTTTCAAACCTTCGCCGGAAAAGCGTGAAAACAAACCCACAAAATGAGGGAAATAAACCATGGGCTCCTCTGCGTGTACCTGGGACATGGGTGCTCCACCCTGAGACGCGTTGGGGGGGAGTTTGGATGGTGGCATGGAGGAGGGTACCCCCTGCCCGCCTTGGGAACCCCCAGCAGATGCAGACTGATTCATGCCCTGGCCCGGAGGGAAGGTCGGCACGAGGCCACCGGGGCCAGCCACGGCTGATGGCACCTGGGGTCCAGGGCCCATGCCTGCATGTAGCACATGGCAACTCCGATTAGCGCGCACGGTCGGCCACGTACGGTGCGAAAGAAGTTCAACATACGCGCATACATAAATATCACACAGAGGAAATTGCGCATTCATCGCCACGACAAAACTCGACACCATTGTCATTTACACTGCCCGAAAGAAGAAAAAATGTATCAGGTAACATTTCAGGCAAGGAAGCTTCTTCATTAGTAGAGTCCAGTTGGAGACTTTCATTTAATTTTAAGAATGTTTCATGATTACCAGCATTGAATAGGCATATGAACGATTAGCCATGAGTGTAGATAGTAACAGAGAAATAACCTTCAAAAGTAACTAAAATATGCATAAACTCACAAAAGCAGGGGAGGGCTCAAAGTTAAGTTTCGCAGAGAAGCAGAATGCGTTATGCTTTGGCACCACCCACTGACAACACGCGGGAGTTACAGCCATTACACAGCAAGACCTAACTCATGTTCTGCCTTTATGCTACCGCGTGTAACAATTCCTGCATTGTTCAAGGCACTATTGATAGCCCTCACGCTGTGATCTGTACTCTCAGCATGACTAACACTTGTTTGAGCAGTAATCTAACAATGGGATGCAAATATGAGGCAGTGGACTGAAATAAATAAAACAGTGTGTCTACAAAATAACTCAACTCTAATAATGGAGCTTGTGTTTGTGTCAGAGTGCATGTGTGGGTTGCAGTGGTTGGTTAGCGGACCATACTGATCAACCCAGTGGCAAGCTATAGCTGAACGTGTCCTGGGATTTTCATAGGTGTGAAAGATTGAAATGAGCATTTCATCTCGTGGTGAAAAAACAGCAAAGGCACATCTGGGATGAAATTGGGGAAAGGCATCACGATGACGAGTACCTGGGTTTGCTGGAGAAGGGTAGCCCTTTTGCATGGCAGCCATCTTTATGGCCTCCGCAGCGGCCGAATGAGCGCCAGTGAGGACCGGCACTCCCGTCTGAGGTACGAAAATGTGGACGCGCCATCGTCCCACGAGCGGTGAGTCATAGCCCACGGCAGCAGCAGCAGCAGCAGCAGGAGCACGGTAAAGAACAAAGCGTGTCAATGCGTTGGCGCGGCATGCCGCATGCCAGTGCCCACCTGCGATGGGATGGGGTACATGGGGTGCCCCGGCTGGGGTTGCGGTCCTGGGCCCTGCTGCTGTACACCCATTTGCTGCTGTATGGCCATCTTGTTCTGCTGCTGCTGCTGCGAACCCTGAGTCTGCAGTCCTCCAACCCCTGTCCGTCACACAGTCGCAGCCACCATTTCAGTGTGGGATTCAGAGCCAGGGTTGCTATTGAATTGGAGACGACTTATTTCGTAACCCGTGGACAGCAAGACGAACCAATGAGAGTGTACAATAAGAAAATTGTGCAAAAGCTGATCTGTACACAATGATGGAAAGACGGCAACAAAAGTATTTTGGACGCATAGCTCAATGTAATGGAGAACACCGACATAAACTGTTGACATTTGGTAAAGTTAATTAAAAAAGGAACAGAGGTGAACAGAGGTAGACAGAGACCAAGATGAACAGACAGAATTTGTAATTGTAACCGAGGGGACTGTATAACAATTTTAAAGCAAAGCCCAACATCATGGAGAGTCGAGCAGGTTGATTATCGAGGTGAGAACACTAATTCACGAGTAGAATGACAAACCGTGAAAGTTATCTCGTGGCAATGCCACGAGTTAGCAGTGCAAAGCCGCAGTGCGCCCGTACATCAATGACGACGGCTGCCGTGTTTAGTGCACTTAACTCTGCAATCCTCCCGTCCACCCGTTTTCAATTGGCCAGGGTGCAACGTGCAGATAGAATGCACTGTTGCCTTGCTATACATTTACCCCTATTACCCTTAAGCATGATGGTGATCTCATCCAGTTTTGTTTACATTCATTTTGTGTAAATGTTTTCCCTTGCATTTAGCCTGTTCCTCTATCCCCGGGCCCTTCCTTGTTACTGCTCCCCCCCACCCAAATTTCCCTTCTCTTATCGCCACCACCTGCCTGGGCTCTCTCCTGGGATTTGCTTGAATTTACGCATTGTGATGTTGACGTGAACACTCTCCTGAGCCCAGCCTAAGAGGCAAAGTGACAGTGCGAAGATCCTCCCTTGGACGTGCCCAAGATCCTGGGGCTTTGGGAATTTTCTGGGGCCTTCCACTGAGACACCATGGGTAACGCCGGGACTCTCCGTGGCGCCTATGTTTGAGACAATTTTGTTTTAACGAAGCACATTTTACTCGGATAACCCCTTGAGATAGAAATGTCTTGTTTGCAAAGGTGCTCAAGGGTGTCAAGTGACACATAGCAAACACATAATGACGTGTATATGATATTTTAAAATATACAACACGTACAGGATATGTTTAAACAATGTCAAATGGAATATAGTGTCAATAACAGGAACAAGACAGCCGAGACAGCGTGAACATCACACCATAAATAAATGCATAAATAAATGGTGCACACCGCCACTTCATACAGGATGTTCTCAAGCTGTAAGCCGCTGTACAATTGTGTTTTAACGTTGTGTACAAACGGCAGCGTAGAGACTCTCCGATGGCCTGTTTGAGGAACTGTGCGGCGGTGCAGTAACTTTCCTGGGACCTGTTTTTTGAGAGGTGGTGCTGTGGAAACTCTCTCGGGGCGAGTCTGCGAGCCGGTTCAGGGGCCTTGGTGACAAAGCGAAGGTCTGAGTGATAGCCAGCGGAGATTGGACTGGGAAGGCGCCTTTAATTCTGCCTTGTTACTGGACTTTCTCCTTGGAGTCCACTGGTTATTTGGGTTTCGGTGGCAGTGTGCAGGCACCGCTTCGTCATGGTGTCATTGCCAAGCGTTGTCCCTACTGGACATCTGTGAAAAAAGCTTTATAACTCATCAGATTCTTCCAGTATAAATACACATTCTGATTCTGTCTGAATTTAATTGATATTTTCCTATTTCATTCTTCCCCTCCAAATTTCCCACCTCCCACCCCCCTTAATATTCAGTATTTCTGATGTAAATTGATTTACAAGCATCTCAGGGGAAGCGTTGGGAGTTACCTGCTGCAGATGGAGGCGGCTGCCGAGGCCACACTTTACCAGGGCTGCCTGTGAAATAAAATTGGAACATGCTGACATCAATATCTCGGCCAGTGCAGTCGCCATCATTCTGTAATATCAACCAACTCTCCAGCAACACGAACAAACCAAAATGCTATCAGCCAACATAGGAATATAAAACCGACTTTTACTTGCGGCCCTGACTTTAATTTAATCTGATTCTTTCAACCCTGTCTGTCTGAATACATGCGTGTCTGTTCATCTCTCCCCTGCTTGTCTGTGTCTACCCATGTGTATTTACCTATCTCCCGGCATATAATTAATAAGTACTATCTGCCTTTAAGTTCACTACCGACTTTTTTGGTCCACCTATTCTTATTTCTGTCCATGTGTCAGTCACGGTTCTAAATGTATGTTCCTGCGGCCCATCTATGTGTCTGTCTCTCGATGTGTTTATCCATCTGTAGAAATGTCTCTCTATGTCTACCTTTATCAGTGCGTATTTAACAACGCGAAGTATGGTCAGACAATCACCAAGATGGACAAGGCGTAAGGGGTCCCCCCCCCCTTCATCCATCAGTGGATTGACAAAAGGCTGTGAATTATTATGACAATAATATTCTTTCAACGACCATCCAACAATTTAAGCTCGAATTCCATCCCACGCTATATTCAACCCCCAAATCCCTAGAGCAGCGCTGCAGTATGAGTCACCCTGTGGAAGATTCCCGGGTCCGGCAGTGGGGCCGGCCTGGGCCCCGCCAGGCTGCGTGGCTCGGGCCAAGCTGGAGGGACCAGAGACGCTCCCAACACCGGCAGACAAGGCGCTCCCCGGCATCACCGCCGGCAGCTGGTGCATCGATTCGCGTTCTACCGACACACACGGACAAGTGACATGAACGCACAATCGCGTGGCAAGCCGACAAGGGCATGGCAATCACCGTGGCTCCGGTTTTCATGTGCTTCATAAGTTGGCGTCATGATGCCACTCGCGCAAGGACAACAGTGCACCTACACGGCCTTTAGTCAGCCGGGTATCAACCTTCTATAACAGGCATTATTTCGACCTTTACGAATGCATGTTTGACCACGTAATTCAACATTTAAAGTCAGTAAAAAGTAAGAATCGGTTTTACCCTTTCTGGCAATAAAACTGGTGTTAAGATGTTCAAAAACGAAATTTATATCTTTTGCAAGGCATCAAGTCTGCATTAACCACACATACTTGTGGCAAAACATGCAAACAAACATGATCTGAAAATAAATATGCATTGTCTTTAAAACTGATTAGCCTACACCAGACAGCTTTCTTTATGCCCTTGTCTCACCAGTGTTAGACCAGAGAATGGTACCTATTTCAATTTTTTCATCATCTTGAATACTGCCAAAAGGGTCCCATAGGTTGCGTTCATTAAAAGTATTTACTTATTAATATTTATTCTTTTGATAGAAAACTCAAAAATGCATTTCCCCCCATTTTTTCAGATTTTCTGTACTGTTCCATTGACACATTCTGGAATTCTGTCAGTCAAGTTTGCTGTACTTGCTTAAAAAATAGAATTCTGGTTTTAAATTGGTTCTTACAAGGTCATAAAAAAAGTTGTACGAGCGCCGGCAAATTATTTATAAATCACAATAACACCAAGGATATTGCCACCTTGAATGTGACAATTTTTACACTAACAATTAGATACAATTAGGATGTCTTCACACCATTCAACGATGTGTGCCGGTTAACCTTCAGAGATTGTACTGACATTATGTTTATTACAAGAGCCCTTTTCATAAAAAATAAATAAACCAGTGCATTAAACTACGTTTATTAGATACAATTCTCAGATCATTATATAAACTATAACCCTATATCAAGTTGGGTGTTCAATTTATTTGAAACATTTTGAGCCAAAACAATTTCATTTAAAACCAAAAATCATTCTTTCACGTATTTGGGCTTACCGAGTAGGCCATGTAACAATTCACAAGTCAATTACTCATTACAATTGAATAAAGAAGAAATCAACCTAAATGTTTTCAACATCATGATAAATTTAGTGGCGCAACATATATGAATCAAAACGAACATATTCTTGCACACGCAATTCGACGATCTATGAATCAAGGAAGCGCTGCATGCCTACCACTGGGCCATATCCCCCCCCCCCCCCCATCCAAACGGATTGAGCTCATTCTCCCAACATGCCATGCTAACCTGGCAGCACGAGACCGCGGACCAAAATCATGTGCCGCAGATCCTGGTGGTAGGCCTTGAGAGCCGCCTCGGGCACCAGCGGCCCTCCCTTGTCGAAGAGGAACTGCAGCGCCGGCACCTTCCGTGGGGCGATCACCGAGAAGTGCACTCCCCTCTATCAAAACAACGTGCAAAATATCGCATGTTAAAAAAAACCTGCACATCGTCATGGAACTTGGGCAGCTTGTGATTTAATTTTTCTGACTGGCTTCTGTGTATTATATATCCCTCACCTTCTGCCTCGCTACATCCCTCATCTCGAAATTTCACTGCCAAACTCCCCACCTGCACCCACAAACAGGATCACCTCACCCCAACACCCAAGTCCCACCACTATCTCCCACTCAATCCCAGATGAATTTCAAGATCGCACCTGCCGTCTTCAAGATCCTCCGTAGACTCGATCTCTCCCCTCTCATTTCACTCGACTCCCCTGCATGCACTCTCCACTGCAGCAGCCACGGCTTTATTTCAAATCCCAAAATAAATTTCTATCAATGAGGTCACTCATTCTCCTTTGCTTTCCCCATGGTCTGGAATTATCTCCCCCCCCCACCGTGCTGTCCAGTTCCAACCCCTGTTCAAGTTCAGGCTTAAAGCTTGCCTTATTACTGCAGCTTGCAACTGAATTCCCCTTAAAATATAAATATGCCCAATGTTGCTGTAGTATCTTGATGACATATAATTCTAAATCATATTTTATAGTGTATGTGTATAAGTGGGGAGCAATAGGGTAGTGATGAATGCACCTGGCTGGCTTCCTAGATTAGACGGCTGTCCACATGTAACATCTGTGGAAAATGGTGCCTGAACCTGTCCTGGCCCACTGCTTTGATAACGCAGCCTGATATAAATACCAAGTGTCGGACGTCATCATTAGCATTGGGGAGACAGTGGAAGCCAGGCGCGGTGCTGAACACACAGCACTCCCTCTTTGTGCCATTCAGTTCATAATAGGTCCTCACCAACAGCACTTGCCTCAAAAGTCCACATGGGGGATCGCTGTTATTGTGTATGCATTGTGTGCACAGTGGTTTGCACAATGCACTACGATCCCAAACATCTGTAGTCCGCTTCAATGCACATTGGTGGCAAGTGGTATCCGAACCTCTCCTGGGCCTCCCCCTGATATCGAATTGACCTTCAATAATTTCCTTAAAACTTAACCAAGTAACTGGAACAGTGCGGAAACATCAAAGTTGGTGAGAAACAAAAGCAGCCGGATGTGGTACCGGCCATAGGCGCTCATCTAACACTACCTGTAGTCTGTGAGAAGACTTTGTGTGTACAAGTGGGGGTGCAGGTGTAGGCGGCATACCTCCCCAATCATGGTGGCAAGCTGGTCGACTGTGAGCCCGGAGTACGCAATGCTCTCCACAGCCGGCAGCTGGTAGGGCGGAGAGTTGCATACGAGGATGCACACCTTGTGCGTCGGCCCGCTGCTCATCGCCAACACAAAAACACCCGCACGTACTCAACAATCGACCAATCACAGGACAATGGCAGTGAACAAGAAGAAGGTGCCAACTATTGCCAGAACCCTGGTGGTAAAATACCTGACGTTATGCTTCACCTACTTAATTGCACTCTCAATTTCCTTAATCTGTAGATCGATGTTACGCTTTTGTTATATTTTCTGCTGTTCTTACACTGAAGCCAGATCTCCCTTGAAAAATACAACTTTACAACAAAAGAGTGAACATGTGTAACACTTGGATAGAGAAAAATGTAGATGATGACATCTACATTCATTATCTATATAAATATTTTTACCTACTTTCCACTATATTTCAGCCCGACTGCAATAATATTTGTGTGTTAGGCAAGGTGGCGGTGGTTTGCGCACTGCACTACAATCCTGATGACTTGACTTTGATTGCTGACCACTGCTAACATCAGTGACACAAGTGGTATCTAAACCTGTCCTGGGTCTCCCCTTGGTTGACTGCTTTAATTGAGCACCAGATGCAGTGTGTGAAAACCACCAGTGGGGAGACAATAGAGGTTGAGCAGTGTGCTGACCACACCACGCCACTTTCAGCCACACTGGCCTTGACCCTAGGATGCAGCCCTCAAATACTCCGCACTATTCCAGTGGTCGGCTCTAGAGGACAGGCATGAGCAATAATGTAATAAGAATTTGCTCACGGAAGATTAAATATTGATCCATTTATGCAATAAGATATTATATGTTTTGTATAAGGTCCTGCAAGAGCCTTTTGGCGTCCTCTGGGCTAACACCTTTTGAGACTAGGCTCCAAAGAAAGTTGTCTCTGGTGTGGAGCAATCAGTCTCAAAGACAATGCATATATTATCAGAGTATATTTTTTGTTTGTTTGCATTCTGACCACAAGTATTGTGGTTAATGCAGACATGATTCCTTGTAAAAGGTTTCAGCTTGGTGTTTTAACATCTTAACACCTGTTTTGTTACCGAAGTCATCATCCTGGGTCTCATGGAGACTGGGCTCCATACCTGAAGAGGTGATTACTCGCTTTGCTTGCTGATGAGGTTATCTAGCTATATGGAAGATATTTTTTAACGTATGATGTGCTCTTAATGTGTTATGAAGAGGGGCCCCACTGCTCAAAACGTCGCCAATGGCATATTTGTCCTTTCAAGGCAGTCTCATTGATGAACGTGTCGAGTGGTTTCGTTTTTTTAGGCGTACGGGTGCTCACTGCGACACACTATTTTGTGAAACCGTACATCTGCTCCCGCATCTTCTTGAGGTCATCGAAGAGCTGCAGTGCCGTGCTGAGCCCCTCGGCAATAAGACTACAGCTTTCACCACCTCCGCCCATGAACCTGACAGGAACACATGCACCGTTGGGCCAAACAGAATTCACATATATATACACTGGGAGAAAGATCATTAACATCACAATTATACTCTCGTGTTATGAAAACACTCCGGGGGGGAGTTGCACGTCACGTGACCAGTGAATTGCTGCCGATGGAGCAGAAGAAGGCACACGGCAACCATACCAGATGGATTACAATGGCAGGAATAGGCATAAATACATTATTTCTAGATGGGAAAACAGCATTGTTGTAGACCACCAACTCAAACGTGTTAAAATTGTGGAAATCTTATTACCATAGTTTAGACAGCCAGATGCCTTCCCACTGACAATGAGACCAGCTTTAAACGAAGACACAATCCATAAAATTGCTCTTATTTTGTAGATTTGTACCTAGCATGCGTGTCTTGTCAATTGTTTAGAAGCTCCGCTCATGAGAAAAAAAAATATAAGAGTCCTAGTGTTGTGCGATCTGTCCATGCGCGCTCGTTGTAACACTCCAGTGATGTTGAATTGTTCATGAAATAAAATGTGGATTTATATAGCTTGTAAATTCAACTACATCTTAAGATGCAATACAAAATAAATGAGCAGAGGAACAAAGGAGGGTCTTCAGCCTCGACTTTTATGCTTAAACAGATATTTGATGGCACAGATGGCAGGGAGCTCCAGACTACTGGGGCAGCAAAAAATGAGTGATCTCCCACTGAGCAAAGAAGGTTTTTGATAGAAAATCTTGGTTTCTGGAGCACAATGTGTGTGTGGGTAGAATAAAATAGTGAGATGAGAGGTAGGTCGGAGAAAGTCCATGGAGATTCTTGAAGATGGTGAGTGCGACCTTGACATTGATTCGGGATTGGATTGGGAGCCAGTGGAGGCAATGAAGATTTGGGGTGATGTGGCCTAGTATACGGGTGAAACGTCTTGTTGGGTCATCTAAAATTTTGAAATCTGGGAGTTGGGAAGGCCATAAAGGAGAGAGTTGCAATCGTTGAATCGGGATGATCTGAAGACATGGATGAGCGAATCAGCGTCACTTGCGGTAACGAAATAGCGTATGTGGCAGATGTTGCGCAGATAGATGTATGAAGTCCTGAAAAGGTGAGATGTGTGCAAAGAGACGAGAGCTCTGGATCAATGACAACTCTAAGGTTTTGAAAATTTTTGTAAGTACAGGAGTGACACCACAGTGATATCACTGGAGTGGTCCTGTGAATTAGAATCCTTTATTGTCACAACTAAAGCTTCAAACGGATGTCAAACAGCCCAGAACACACAGCCTATGTACATATCTGCAAGAGCTACTTTTTTTTAGAGCTGCATTTTCCTTTAAGGCAAGACAGTGATGACAGAACACAGACAGCCGTTGTGAGACCCGGGGCGTGAGATAAAAGTTTAGGGTGGTGGAAACACACGTACTGGATCCCATCAAGCCATGTGACGAACTCGAAGGCGCTGCTGGTGGGAGCGAAGCACTGCACGTAGGTGTCGGGGGCACAATCCACGGCATTGAACACCACCAGGCAGTACTGCGTGCCCCCGTACTGCGGAACATGGCGAACAAAAAAAAAACGGGTTTTAAAAATGACACCATTAACAAGGTGGCTCATGGGTCAGAGCACTGACATTGCATCAATGAGATCCTGGGTTCAATTTCAGGCAGCCACCCAATGTTCTTGATTCTTTCGGTAAAGTCACGTAGAAGGGAAATAATAAAATAATGTTTTATTTGTATTCTTTTATTATTTCCCTTCTACTTGACTTTACCGAAAGAACCAAGAATATGAATCCCTGCAGTCACGAAAGCTTTAAATCGAAATTTAGCCACCCGATGATTAAACTGGGTTCACAAATTGAGATGATGGCCTTAGCCTGGTCACAAATGACTGCACAAAAAAGACATCAACTCTAATCTATTCCATGCTGGATGAAATGAATGAAGGCCTTCTCATGTCACCGTCCCTCATTTCTCACATCTCATTGGTGAACTTCCCCTGTGTATTTTCTCTTTCGGCTGCCATTCTGTGATGAGCCTCCTAATTTGGCCATCGTCTCTTCCATCCGGTGTGTCCTGCTCAGGGCCCAGCTATTTTTCGAAAGTCAATACGATGTTCGTAATTAGCATTTTGTGAGATCCACACATTCCCCTTATTTTGTCTCTCAGCCAGGCAGGCGTTGACAACCTTCTCAAGGTCTACCCCTGCTATGTGCGAAAGCACAACCAATATCATATCTGCATATGATTATCACGAAGCGAAGTCATGGATTAAAAAGCAATGGATATGGTCTCTATGCTTATTTGCATATCTTTTAATATTTTGTTCTAGTTTTTATTATCAGTATCTATGAATAAAAGGCCATTATATTAAATATGCTTTTTCACTTAATTTGGCAGAACTCCAGCTGTGAGAATTAAAAAAATATCTTCAACTGTCATGCGCTGAAAATCTCTGTCGCTGTGTGGAAAAAAAGGTCAAATTGAAGAGATCTCAGAAGTAGTTATGTGACATCACACATACAGGGTGATGCAACGCAGTGCAAGATTTGCGTTAGGACATTTCTTCATCTCATTATATAACGACAAGAACACACTATTTTCATACATTTTTAAAAAAGGTAAACATGAAATAACAAAAATAAGGCTGTAAAAACTTAACAAAAACGATTAGTTGCCGATTTTTCTAAAGAGCACTTGTCACGTGAAAGGATAAACCTAGAAAAGTAGATCTGGTATGAAGCGTCATTGTAATTACTCCATTATACACAATTTTCACTTACAACGTACTGCCATTCATACTAAATCAAGATTCCAGGGTATTGCAATATCTCTGTAAGGGAGGGTAACTACCTAATCAGCATGAGTAATGACCAATGTTAAACAATAACACGATTTCTGTATGTCAACGGTTTTATAATGTTGAAAAAAACTATTCAATGGTTTATCTACATCGATTATATTCAAGGAGCGGAAGGTTGCGTAGGTGCGTGCACTGTGTGCCCATGAGTGTCAAGGGCTCAGTTCAACGAGACAAATGCAACTTGGCAGAAGTTGTCTCTGCACCCCCCAGACAAGGCTAAACAACACAGCAGGCAGCCTTCCCTGTTCAGATTAAAGTAGCGCCATGGTGGGTTTTCATTTTCACTGTCCAAGTAGTGTTAAAAAAAACCTCGTTTGACTTGAATCTCCGAGCATTCACACTGAGCGTGCTCAATACAGCTGTGAACACTGTGTAATACCATTCATAATTAAATTACCTGTAATACACACCTGATTTAATCATGTTTGTTGTTGTGCGCTCGATCGCACAAGGATGGATAAGCACAAAAGCAGTCAACATGTGCGGGAAATTTATACGGTAATCTCGTTTATTTTTTAATGTTTTCAATCAGGGTTTTTAAACACATGATGATAATTATCGAAGGTCGTGAAAAGAAGGAGAACTTGCAAGGCTGATTTAATGTCGGCATTACATCGACTCTGCTTTGAGAACAGCGCACACACCATCTGTGGTGTAACGGCTTATGTGGACAAACGCTAATGTTGCTTTTCAAAGTATAATGAAAAGTTAATGAATTGTCTTAAAAGTAAAAGAAAAAAACCGTAAACACTTACATCTCCCCCAAAGTCGGTCTCCGCAGGTGGTCCGCCATTGAAGAACCTTCAGCAGTAAATCAATGGTAAAAGATGAAAGTTTAAATGAAAGGAAATACACTGCAACCAAACCTTCATTAAAATGCTCAATAATAGCTCAAGGAAAACTAAACTGCTTTATGCTTGGCTTTATGTTTTTTCTTCCACTATAACTCCACATTGTAAAATGTTACACTGTATATATTAAAGTTTTTGCTAAGCGCAAAGGTTTTTTTCATGTCAAAAATTCAGTTTCAGCAGCATACACATAAAAGTAGAAAAAAAACAACCAAGAGAATTCCACAAATGCATCACCGTGGGCATTTAGCAGTTTTCATTGTTTAAAAAACGATACTTACAATTTTTTTATGCTTGCGTGTCTGTGTGCTTATTGGGTATTTCCGGCAAAGAGTGCCTCGAGCACAAAAAAAAAAGGGGGGGGGGGGGCAACGTTGTGCGACGGGACAAGCACCCACTTACTCGATGGAGGGAAGGAGATACGACTTCTTGAGGCTCTCGAAGTAGGGCCCCAGGTTGGCGGTGCCCTCCACCACGAAGACCACGTCGCGCACCGCCTGGCTGGGCCCTGCGCCACCCACCACGTCCGTCACCACCATCCTCGAACGCTGCGCCGTGCGCGAGCCCCGCTTGGGCTCGTCGACAGCACGATCTTTTCGGTTCGTTGGGGAGAAAAAAAATATATATTCTGAGGCTCAAAATGCCTTAAATGCAGAGCCAGTGAAATAAACGGATTTATACGCCAACAGCAATATACACATACCGTAAAAATCAAGCAAAACGACATTTAATGGTTTAGCCGTTTGCAAGTTATGACATTTTAAAACCTATCATGCCACTGTGCATATTAGTATGCGTCCACTAAATGTAATTCTTATCGCTCATACACAGTTTTGAGTTTTATAATTACCGCTTGTCTACAAATGCAGTTAATTTTACGAGCAATTGTGTTTATTAATATAGTAAAAAATTCAAACACCAATTACTGTAATGAACATTCTTCGACCATGACCGGATTAAAGCAATCCTACATCGTGGTCGATTACGCGCTTTTAAAGCATTGCAGTGTAGAATAGCATTAATGCCCTACAAACACAGTGCGGCTCATGCGGTTTTAATTACTTAATTGAAAGACTTTGGAAAGTCCTAATGAGCATACTTAACATTCAAACTCAGCGTATGTTACAAAAAAAGCCTGTAAAGTTCGCACCGACTACATTCTAAAGAAGCATAGCGCTACGTAAACTATACTCTCTGCATTCACTTTAATTGTGTAAGTGTATTTCAATCATTTCGTTCTATCCCCCAACCATATACGTGCATCACCACAGTAAATATAATAATATAATGGTAGGTATGATTGCACGCAATAATATTTATTGTTTAGTTTGTCCATCACGCGCACCTCCGATTAGCACGGTTGGCTACGTACGGTGTGAAAGTTCAACAAACATATATAAAAGAAGATGCAAAATAAAACAACATATCTGTGCTGTATATACCCCAGCAGAGTGGATGTTTGAATGTCCGTCTGTAAATAGAAAATGTCCTACTCGCCCCCGAATCCCCATATAATCATCTAAAAAAATGAGGGTAGCCACTATACAGCCATTATTGTCAATCCATCGTTGGGAGATGGGAAAAATCACGAGTGGGATTTCTATGAAAGTGGCGGCTAAAGACCATCTAGTCTTGAGTTGTGGGGGGCCAAAGAACAGTACAAATGGCATCCACAACTGGGTAATGGGACCCTGGGTCGTCATGAAGAAAAAATACAGCCCTTTGTCAATCCACTCGCGGTGAAAGTGGGGGTAGGTGATGGGGGAGAGTGCCCAAACGCATTTCAAACAACCCTCTCCGCTGTTATTAGTTGTAGCCAAGATTTGAACTCGGGTCACCAGATTTAAAATATGGCGCCTTTCTTACATGCAAAGCCTCCCATAGATATCCAGTACACGGCGAAACCAGTGGTTGCTTCTCAAGTACTTCACGAGCCATCAGATGGTGAAAAAGAATATTACAAACTAAAACTCCTATTTACACGAATATTGAGCGCTATTCGCTAACATTATTCATGTTATGCGCACAACAAAGCACGGTTTAAACGTGAATAACAATGCATTTGCTGGTAGACACCAATGCAAATTGACAGCTGTCTACGGGGCAAAAGTCCCCACCATATCCTGCATCCGGATATTAGAATATATTATCTGATCAAATTATCTTCTTACATGTGGATAAGCGTGGATAATGGGTTTATGTGCCACCCCGAACGAATGACTGAACTACTCTTGTCCGCAATGAAGCACGGAAAAAGTAATTGTCGCGTCGATAACAGATAGGCGGAACGATGTGGGGGGTGGGGGGTAGGTACGGACGCGTGAATAATGACGACTTTTAAGTTTCACGCGATATCGACGACAGACTTTTGATATGCGGTAACAATGTGACGCTGTAAAATGTCTAATTGCTGAGTCCCTATGCCGAGCACGGCTATGTATTTAACGAATCATGCTGATGATGACGGCAAGTACGATGAATTGGACAAAGTCCATCCCAACTAGCCCTCAGTGGTCATCCTAAGAATAACCTCAACCCTTCAAATTCTTATCTACAACTTCAGTTACTATCTACACATTAAGGTATACTCTAACACTTAATTACCTAGAAGTTAAAAGCCACAAGTCACCTGCAATTCGCTGCGGCCTACGCCTGCATGCAGCCTGAAGGGGACCGGCCTCGCCTGGCCACTTGGACGACTGGGCGCCACGTCTCGGCCGGTAGCCGCGCTAGGCCAGACCGGTGTCCCGGGGCCGTCGCGCGGTCATCGGTTTTCCCGGTCGACGAGGACGACTCCGACGTGCGCTCTGTCGCTCAGAAGCCGCCCGATTGTTACTCCTCAGTTAAAATGAAAAGAAAACGCGGCTTTCTGTCACTCTCGCTACCGCGGTGACCGCGAAACGCCGCTAGGCCGAGGAGCGAGGCCGGATCCGGTTCCCTGTGGCCACCTCCTCGTTGCCATGGCACCGGAGACCCGGGTCCCCACGAACCCAGTTTCCCGTAACCAAGCAACCGATAGACCCTCCGACTCCAGGAACCCGGGATTCGTTGCCATGACGACTGCCCATAGACCCCCCCCCCCCCCCCCCCCCGGATTAATTAATTATTAGACCATGGGCCACAGCAGAAAGTTGTAACACAGCAGGAACCTCGCCGGGTACGCAGGAGATTGTGGGTTCGATCCCAACCCTGACGCCTGCTGCTGTATATTTGTAGTTTGTGTGTGTCTCTCTCTCTCGCTCTGCCACTGTGGTCATGTGGATTTTTCTCCGGGTCCTTGGGGTGCTCCCTCCACATTTAGAATCAACATCACGCGTTTAGAGTATGTGGCTGCGAAAAAATTCCACACGATGATGTGAAAGCCACTTCGCTAAGCTATCATGTGTGGCCTCATGTGTGGCTTCTGAAAAAGAGCTATTCATAGCTCAGTGGGCCCTTACCTGGTCAAATAAAAAGTGTGGTTTTATATAAACGGCGAATATGAGTGATTTATTTGATAGAATCCTCATTTCACATACTTCACTATTATTGGCCACAGACATAATTTGGAGCCACTGAAGTTATACGACCTCAGGTGATTCCGATCATTTAAAGGTCCGATTTGGTCACGTGGACTGGACAGTAAACAAGCCACTCGATTGTGAAAGCCTCGCTGGGAGTTGTTAGGGGATTGGCAATTATAAACAAGACACATTGCACTTTTCAAAACCACAAGATGCCACATTTTGTAGGCTTAACTTTATACAACATAGATCACCAATGTCGCTTCCCCGCATTACATGTTTAAAATCTAGTCTAATTTTGGCGGTCCCAAAATCCAAAATATATTCTTTATATTAATCTAGCGATAAGCATTGACTCGACTATATAATAATAATCTTTGCATTTATATGGCTCTTAAATATCTCAGCAATGGAAAGCGACTCAACGCCTCATCTCAAACAAGTCAAAGGGCACCTCCGGTGGCAGCTGTCCCTATGCAGCACCAGGTGACTTAGCGCCAGCTTGGCAGTGGGATTTCGTCTGCTAGTAAGGGACGATTTTATTGCCGTGAGCCATTTCAAATAAGCAGTTGGCAGGTATATTGTTGTTACCTTTACAAATTTGGACCACTCGTTTCCAGCGATACCGCTGGGCCATTAGCATCTTGAAGAGCAAATGTGAATCAAAATAGTCAGTTACGTGGATGTTTTACTGGTAAGAACCTCCTGGTTACACCAGCCCACAGGGGATTATTGTGTCCGTCCGTCCGTCGTGCATCCAAAAATGGGAGGGGTGGGGCTGGGTGGAGAGGGGAGTGGCTGGGTGGGGAGGGGCTGGGTGGGGAGGCAGGGGCTGGGTGGGGAGGGTGGGGCTGGGGGGGTGGGAGGGGTGGGGCAGGGTGGGGAGGGGCTGGTCACCCCGTGGTGCCCTTATAAAACTCAACGTTTAACCTACTCACGCCGGCTTGTGCCCGCCCTCACAGTCAGCCATATTTGCGGAATACACCACGCCGCCCGAGCAACCCAACGTTCCTACCAGCTCCCTCCGCAGGAATGTGTTGATGTTAACAGCCCTGTACCAGTGGTAGACAATCCAATCTGCCATGGTGAGATGGCGATACACCTTTTGTGTATACAGTACTGTATTATTTAATGTTTCCAGCTTGTACACATTCATATTTGCTGGTGTACTGCAGCTACACGAAATATTTTTTGGCGAAAGGCTGCACTCGTATAATAATTATTATTATGTTTTACTACCAATGCAGTGGCATTGAACGATTTTGGAAATGCAAGAACAAATATCTGTGCGGGGCAAATGTCGAGGGCACGGTGGAGGCAGGTGGTGTAAAGGTTACAAAAGGGGGTACTGCATATGGCTTGTTCCAATCCCACCACACGCCCCCCACTGCTGCTGCCCCCCCCCCCCCCACCACAACGCCTCGCACGCTTTGTTCCCCCGACCGAACATACAACACAATTGTCTGCTTTAAGTGCACTGTTCCTGTCCAATTAAAATCATGTTGCATACTGCATGACTTGTATTTTTAAGGGAAGCAATGTACTGCTAATTGTTATACCCTTTAGTGACAGCAGTGCCCAGCCTTTGGGGAAGATTAGCAATGAAAATATTTTTTTATGAACGTACAAATGAGATTTTTTGGGGGAATTTCAGTATGTGCAATTTTTTTTATATTGTTTCTGAACGTCTTGCGATACGATCGTGTTTAGATACTAAAACAATATTAACGATTGGTGGCATGTGTGTACGGTCTGTACTAATGCAATTACCACGTGTGCATAAGAACGTGTGTGTGGGGAGCGGTAGTGCAGTGGTTAGCACGTTACATTATGAACCCACTCACCCGAATTCGATTTCTGCCCATGGAGAACACCAGTGACGATTATCTAAACCAGTCCTGGGCCTGCGTAAGGTCGACTCAACCTCAAATGACTATATAGTTTGATTTGTAAACATCGCCACTGGGGTGATAAAGGCAGCCAGGTGTGATGCTGCCCCCCCATCTCCTCATGTGCTGTGCCAGCTTTCATAGGTGCTCGCTAACAGCACTTGCCCCAACAGTCTGTTAATGCTATACGGGATATCTGTGTGCGTGGGTGTAAGTTCACGCGTTAATTTGTGTCACTGTGTGCACATTTATTTGTACAATTGAATGGCCTCACAAAATGGACACTACTTTAACGGGTTGACTTAGCAGCGTGTTTGTTATGTGATGTATTATTTTATTACCTTGACACGTTTTCTGCCTCTCAGAGTAATTCCATCTCTCCATACTTATTTGCACATATTCCGCAGTGGCAGCCAATGGAGGAAACATGCCCAAGAGGACGTCCAAGCGTGGAGATGGAGCTATGGGATCAGCTTCTGCGTAGAAGTTAGATGGATTGTTACATTGCAGAACTCATCGAGATGGGATGCGGTGGGGCGAGGGGGTGGCACGCAGCAGTGGTAGATCAAGGCTTCTGCTGATGACAAATTCACTGGCTGATTCCAATGATCAAGGAAGGAAAGGGTAACATATTCGTCAATATTACTGCCTTAAAAAGAGAAAATATATAAAATCGGTGACATTTCGGGTAAAAATGTTGGTTAATATTTAATTGTGATTTACATGATTGAGCAGCACACACTTGAACTGAGAGCACACTGCACAATCCTTACGAGGACCACCCACACTTAAGAGTGGCACGCCATGGGGAAGTGCAGGATCCTCATAACTCCTCTCCATCTAAGCCAGAAGTCCCATTGTTGCCCGGTCTCGGGTGCTCTCTCCACGAGCTTTTATATTCTGTGCCTCTTCTTTCATCTCATCCACCGCATCCTTCTTCCCCGCACTGGCATCTCTGTAGCATGTGGGTCATTCTTGTCTTGTTTCAAAACAATCAAAGATAAATGACGAAACCACAGACTTGTGTGTGCATCTGTCCTTTAACAAATATGGACAAAATATTGAGTGCTGTGAGGCAGGACTAATACTTTGAACACGAAAATCAACCAGCCCTGGAAAGTCATAGAAAATTAAACAAAGAAAGGAAAACTAGGGCACAAGGCCTGTGGTGGAGATGGAGGGGTGTTTATAGGGGTGAAAGAGAGTGCATTGTAATACTGGTGGTTTGCTGTATGTATTGCAAGTTCGAGTGTAGACACATTAAGTGCAAGGCATTACTCCAGGGCACAGCATGTCAAAGGCAGAGTGTTTTGCTTTATTAATTTATAACAGAACAAACACACAAGAACACCAAAAAACACTTATGTATAACTCTTTTTTTGTGTGTTTGATTAAACCAGTCGTCAACTAACGAACACCAAAAAACAATCAAGATGGTAAATAGTCAAATATAGAAAACACTGCTAACTGTTACAAATATACGCGTAATCAACTACACAAACCGGAGACTGCACTACGAGAGAGGATGGCCAGAGACCGCACAAATATAACACTTTGATTGGCTGTTGTAAGTGATACACGTGAGCTTTCCACAAACTGTTCGTTCCGTTTGTATTCCAAGATACGAACTTCGGAGGCTGCAGTTTCATGAACCGATATTGTATCAGAGAGAAAAAAAAGTACATTGTTCCGTTTTTCATTTTCTTTTTTCAACTAACGCCCGTTTATTTGTTTTAAAATCCCATTAAATTATCGCGTTACAAGTGATCTGAGAAAGTCCCGGTAATGAGACATAATTAGGCGATGATGCAAAACGTGGACTCCCACCAGCTCCGACACAGCTTCAGTGAAAGCCGGCCCTGCCCCTCGTTCATGATTGGCAATGACAGGCTGCAGATCAGAGCCTTGTGCTTTAGGACTGACAACACAGCACATACTACAGATACACCATACACGACGATTCTTAACACACAAACGGAAACACAAAAACGACACGTGCTGTGCTAAATTTTTTCTCTTCTCCTAAAAAATATTTTTTTCATTTTTTTGTTTAAACCCAAGCCCACCCCCTCATTTGTTTGTACTCAAGTCCGAATGGGCGTTAAGTGTCGCCAGAGGGCAAGGAACCTCCAGCATCAGAGGGACAGACCGTCCCCTCTTTATGGAGCGCGCGGGGCCTCGGACCAACTGTGTTTTTGAACGGTGCGCCAACACTCGCCATTCCCGAACAAATCATAAAAATGCGTAAAGCAGGACCCATTTGCCTGCCCACCCCCTCTACCCCTACACTCCTACCCCCTCTAACTCTACGGCCAGGTGATGTGTGGTGAATATATTCCAGAAGCCCAATTAAAATACGAGACTTACAAGCATGCGATAAGTGAACGACCTTTGACACCGAATAAGTACTTATAAAGAACGAGTTATGCATGGAAGCATGTCACCGTATAATTATTTTTGCATGGAATCTGTAAACGGAGATACGGCAAGAGGTTACAGTATTTTTTTTGTTCAACAATACAGTTATGTACATGTATATCATCTTGAAAGTAAAGTAACGTACGCACACGACTGCT